CACGGAACTCATGCCGCTCCTGGACAGGGCTACATCTGCTTGAAGCCTGATCCTCGAGGTACTAAATAATCAACATGGGAAAAGTCTTCCTCTGTACGGCTCTACACCCTGGGTACATTGTCAGACGCGGACTTCCCCACCCCCTCCTAAAACAGCCGCCCATACAAATCGGCTCGCGGTGCTTACGGTCAATGGTATAAGAGTTAGCCACACGGACATCCGGCACGGAACGTGTTGTTCTCAGTTGTGACACCAGAAACGGATGATGGCACAAAGCTTCAGACGCGGTAAAGGTGATGATTTATGGCAAGGATCGATGTCGTGAGGTTCTCGTGCCCTTGTGTAAATATAGACAGGGCGTAACATCGAGCATCGTCCTGGAGCGTTGGGCTACCACACCACCCAAGACGGGAATGATTGAGTGTCTGGCTCAGGGTGTTCGGATGGACGAGATGTTATAGGTCAGAAGCACCCCTGCCTTAGCTCAATATGGTAAGGCCACAGGGGTCTTGGACTTTTATTGAACACCTGCTCCCGCGCTCCCCTGTTCTCTCTCTCCTCCTCCCTTCATCGGTGAGTGAGAGCCACTATCGTACAACTCCCTCTGGATGAACGTACACTGACCTGATTAGCTGCCAGGGGCGTAGCAAGCAACATCTTTTAAGGGATCTTATCTTCCACACCATAAGTCCGTATGTATGCCTTGTGGCACGTCAACGAAAGAACGTTAACCTGGAGTACTGTGGGCCACGGATGTCTAACTGCCCAATCCGGTTAGGTTTTCAAAGTAAAAGCCTCTAAGCCGTTTCGGGAAATAGTTGAGCGATGCGACGAGAATTCGAGCCTTCTCAATCTGTGCAAGGTATCATTGCATAGGTACTAACTGGTGTAGAAGTACCAAGTCTGACCTTACCTATACCATGGCCGCAAACGTGGAGTGATATGTTGATCCCCGTTTTCGTCGATGTAGACAGCATAGATAAGTGCCAAACGCGCTTTACTGCAGCTTGAACCATGCCAGCCACTCGACATGAATGGGAATGCTGGTGATAATGATGTCTGCAGTTCAGCTCAGCTCAGACGGGGAGCTGTTCGAGTGCTTGGCCCCCGGGGGTCTGAGCTAGTCCGGACGTCAATGTCTGTAGCATGCAAGGCGCTTTTATGGATGTAACACACTGACGATAGATATGCTGTGATTTGCCTGCTTCCATAGTCCGCTCTCCAGCAAATGGCGCGGTTTCTGGCTAGAGAATATGCCTATGCGCCGCGTGCAAGGCTCGTCTGGTTGCTCGATGCGCTCAAAAGGAGAGTCGAATTGCGTGGGGTTACGCTCGCTATGCGGCGGTAGGTACATCTTGGTTGTCTGAATTCGGCAGCGTGCGTTTTCCAGAAGTTGACCAGACGCAGCTGTAGGATCACTAGACCCAAGAACTAAGGACTATTTAAAGTACATTGTTCCCTTACCTGAACGACAATGAAACCGTGAGATGATCAGCTCTTGCTCAAAGTTCGGCTTGGTTTGAGCTGGGTGAGGAATGAAGCATTGTGTATTCGTTCATTCGAGTGCCTACAGCATGAGACATGCCAAGCTCATTACTGAGACAGGATGGTAATGGTCATCGATTTGTGGACATATAATGCCAATGCCCTCCCATCAGCAGAAAAGCTTCTCGGTGATGTTTTGATGTCAGTATACGTCCCTTCACCTTCAGATCATGACTCTCGAAATTGTATTGAGAAGCTCACGGATAGATCATACTTGTGAAGTACGGTATAATCTTCCGTATTGGCTGGTGGAAACCCCATTTCAGGATGAAGGGTTTGAAGTGTTCGAAAACAGTGCACATGCTCATTGTCAGCTGTCAAAGCATTTGTCTGACGTTCCAGGCTGCGTTCTCTGTGCAGTCTGGATCCGGAGTCAATGCAGTGGCCTTCCGATGTTCGGTAACTGAATTACCGGCAGATCTTGTAGGGTTACAAGTTTACCGACTACATGCAACTGTATGTACTCAAGTGTTGAGGTAAATGGCAGAACTTAAGCCTGCGTTGCCCGCCTTGTTTGCATCGTGAAATTATACGGTACACGACAGTGAATGTTGGTAGAGAATCTCATGCATTAGGGAAAGGGAAGAGCGTCTCCGGCGACATGGTGTTCCAAGTTTCGGACGGTCTTTTCTTGGTGAGTGGCTGGGATTGACCTCGCCGGGATGTAAAGATTCGATCACCAGTGCCCTCTTGTCTTTATGAATCTCAGCTAGAGGCTTTGGATCAAACGACGGAAACGCTTGCGCCAACCAATACCGCCGGTGCTCGTTTGGGTATACGGCGTTGTCGTAAGGAATGTTGATGACGCTTAGTACCGGTGGCATACAATGTTCTTTACCGGCATGTGGGAGACTTCATACCTAGAGGTAGGTAGCTCTCAGTATCAGAATGTGGATAGTAAGCGTAATCGGCGATGGAGCAAACTGAACTCTTGGGAATTCGGCAGCTCGGGTCCCCAACGGTATACGGCGGCGCTAACGGATTTCATGTACATCGATGTGGAGGACTGGCCAGCCCTGCTTCATCTTGTCCCAACGTGGAATTACAGCTTAATCATTGGAGAGGGGGGTCAAATTTTCTTCATGCTCCCAACTTTACCCCCCTCCCCAAAGGGTAGTTCGTTCCTTCTTTGATCAACAGTTCGCACAGACCAAGTGTACTGGGGCTTTCCGCCCGCCAGGGCAAGAGCGAGCTTTGAAAGTTGATGTGAAAGAAGGCAATATTCGTCCAGCAGCCGGCGTCCATATCACCGTTCCAGGAACTTTTCAACTTCCTTGAGGTTCTACGAAGAAAGTCTGAGAATACGTTGGCTCTACACAGTCAATTCTGCCCAAGTTTCTCAGTGATGAAGGTTGACAATTATTCAAGACCACCTAATACTATACACCCCCATATACATGTCATGTACCGTATCATGCGGTCATACTTGCGTGTGCTTTATCTGACATAGTTCAACAACAGTGTACTCGTACCCACGTGACTGTGCCGTGAACACCAGTCCCTCGTCTCTGGATTTCACAAATAATAGGGTGTACGTGGTTTGCCGAAACCGAGGCTAGGCCATGCGCCCTTCTACAGGTGCAAGAACGAAACCGATGTGACAGAATTTCAACAGTCCGTGCCAGCTAGGGCCGTTCGCGGAATGGACCAAAATTCAGCGAAGCCCCTACTTGGTGTAAGCCTCAACTGGTTTTTACGAAGATTCGACGGTCGTCTTCGCGATCTGATGTTCCTCTCCAACGCATTGGGCCGGTGAAGACCATGTCAATGTAAATGAAGGGTTTTCTCTATTCTAGGGTCCGGTTCTGTTCGTTATATACCTACTAGAGGTTGATACCTGTTGGAGAGGGGTCTAGGTTCCTGTCGTTTCTCCAACTCTGGTGGCAGGTATATGCCTGCCAAATTGGATGCGTGTCCCCCCTCACGGTTTATAAAAGGAGGTTTCTTATTGCAGAGAAAACCCAAAAGGAGCGTCATGTAAGAAATTCACTCTCTTGCATGCACAATCGGTCTGGCACATATGCTGCAATATGCTTCAACCTGCGCCATTGGCATTGGCCCGCGACCTTCCTGAAACTTAAATAATGGGCTGCCATTTTCTCCTTGCTGCGTTTAACACATGCCAATCTCGATCAAACTGCCTTGACAATGCCGCGACTCATTCAGTTCCGTTATTGTAGCAATGCATTAGACAGGGAAAATAAACAAGCGGGATTGAGGCAGCATAGTGCAGCTTGCACATTGTGTTAGGTACAGTTGACTGACGGTCTTGCTACATGTGAAGTTGTTAATGTACTTCAGGTAACTCAAGTTCTTGTAAGTACAAGTTTGGTACCACGTACCTCTACATTCGCGATTGTATTGGCGCTTCGGCTTCGTTCTCGGACATTCCCCGATTATCGCCGCTTTGAGCTCCGGAAAGGCGGATGTTGGGGTAATCGACCACCCCTTCTTACCAGTTTTCACTTTTATGATTATTCTTTTCCGAATGCAATTGATTTGGCAGAAATAGGTGGCTTCAGGTTACCATGTTCGAATCGTGGTACCTTCACCAAGCATTCGCACCCCCATTTAATAGCGGATCAGTTCCAAGCAATACGGCATCCTCAATTCCGGGAGGATGATGGCTTGAATCCAACGGAGGGCAACACGAGATTTAGCACTCCTCCGCGGCAAGATATTTCGGACAGTAAGGCGCATAGATAGAGGTAGTCATGTATGATCAGATATCTTCTTTCAATGTGGTCAGATGCTTACCGCATAATAGTGTCGGTGTGGAACTGCTTCGGCTCTATTCAGTGTGAACCTAATGTCCATGCGTCCAATCTTTTCTGTATGGCATTTTGCGTGCTCTGGACTATCCGTGATTCAAAGGTTTTGTTTGTTCTTTAACTTGCAAATATTAAACAGCCTTGCAGCCTTGCATGATGCATCGCTAATGCCTCCTGCATAAAGCCCGAACATATGGGCAGAAGGTGGCGACTTTGCTCCCCAGTCTTGTCGATGTGATGGCTTCTCGAATCTGCGGTCTTTTATCTGTCGATCCATATTGATGCGTGCCCAGCAAACGAGACAACCATGCGCCCTACCCCGGAACAAGGCTCACTTCCCTCTCGTTCTTCCACGGAAGCCACATCCTGCGCCCTGCACTGAGCTGCTCAGCCTCGTCCAATATTACAGGAACGTCGAGGCCCAATTGATGGAACAACAAACTCGCTCTGGTTATTGTTATTGGATTGTTGGATTTCGCCAATGGGACACAGGACCCATAAAAATCCACATGGGATCGAGACATTGATCAGCCTCCGTCCCTACCTAGTTCAACCTACTCCGAGACGTGCATGGCAACTCACCACATTTTGTATCACACCCTTTCTTCAACAGCCCACCCACTGGCTGCCAGGTAACTCGACTCGATATCTCTCTCCCACAGTCCCGGATCTTGAATGGGGGAGATGGCAAGGCACGGGTACGGTAGTCATCTGTCGTTTGGCTGTGATGACAGATTGACAACCTCATCTTGCACCGAGGGGATGTGCATTCATGGACTGCCCCATCCACATCCCCGAGTCCGTCAGCACGATGTAGGTGCCAGGTGCAATGTCCGGCCCGTGGGGATATCCTACCTAGGTTCAGGTACTTGGATACCCCTGGTTATGCCGCTTCTGCAATCATCGACCGGACAAAAACAATCACATCCACACTGCAACAAACCATCGCCAACCTCCACCGATGCATGGAAGCTCGTAAAGAACAACAATTCTTCACACCGAGGCTGACGCCTTTCTGCCTTTTTCAAGTTGAACAACTGTCTGAGGTAAGGACAATTTCAGTATGGTGTGGGGGTTGGAGTGAGCATTTGGACCTCATCATATCAAGGACATCACACGCTCTGCTAGGTCTGATGCCAGTCAAGGTAACACAATGGCGGTATTGTATCGCAGTATCGCATCGATCTGACCGTACTTTCATCCAGGACTCGGCATCTGTCGCGTCGCATCGTCACCTTCCCCGCTCTGCTTAGCCGCTGCAAGCTCCGGGCTGCGTTGGCGGTAAGTAACATCAAGATAGGCAAGATGTAAGGTACATTACACCCGGACTTGAGACAGAACGCATGAACCAGGGGAAGGAACATCCATTAGACGGCTATAACTCGGCTCTGACCAAAGTACCTTCCTTCCCTGAACCCACAAGGGTCCACAGTTACCTTCCTTACATCAGACACATTATCCAGGCTGTTCACCAGCACCACATGTCTCAGAAGGCTCGATTAAATAAAGTGCTAGTGTCGTAGATAGAGAAACTGCAGGGCCGATCCGTCCCTCCATCCTTCCTTGCTTCACGCAGTGCCTGACCTTCTTTTCACCACTGCCGTAACAACCTAAGCTGTGGTGTTGCCAGTCTCCAAATGATGTGTCCGCCATCGAGCCCTTCCATGACCCCCCTCAATCCCCTCACTCCCTTTTGTCGCACGTCTCACAATTCCCTCGTGCACACTGAAACGTATCACCACTGGCCCCGTCTTTCCCGATCAGTCCAGCCTAAGTCTTGTCACATACGACCGAAGATCTGGAGAACAATACGTCGGGTTCACTGCATTTTTGGAAAGAAAGGCAACTGGAACTTGCAAGTACGTTGCACTTTTGAGGGGCCATGGAGGGTCAAGTTACAGAGTCTCCTGCTGGTGTGCAGGCCAGCGACGGTGGGCAACTGCCATCAGTCCAGTCCATAGGTATAGAATGCCGGGGCTCGCAGAGGCACCTGCCGAGTTCCAACACAGCGCCCGGGCCTCTCGGCGGCTGGTGGGACAGAACGGGGCATCGTGCAGCTCCTTGTCGGCCCGGATGTGCTCGGGGGTAACCTGGAAGCCACCTCTAATTGGAATGGAGTGGATAGTTCGAGGTCTGGCCGTGCTACCCTATGGAATGCATCAAGCAAGACTCTGGAAACCCCGAACTCCCAAGTCAAATCCATCTTACCTCTTTCCTTTTGAGATAGGGGTCTCAACCTACCTATGTAAGGCTACATGCTCCCCCCTCCTTCTCGCAGCAGCAACGCACAGCCTTACCAAAACCCCCAAGCTCAAAGGATTTGAGGACGGATCTGCCTTGTCGATCCTAAATTACCCTACAGACTTTTTGGCGACTTCCCTCACTGGATCGAGGCAGTCGCACTTTCGTTACAGTCAAAAGATAAATCAGCAAGGCAATGACATCGTCAACACTGACAATCACCTCGCCTACATTTCGATTTTCGCCGAACCGTAGTTCAATTGCGCCTCCATACCACGCTACACATCCACAAATCCAGGCACGTGGTTGGCAAAACAGAGCCGCATGTACACATAAAGATTGCACTTCCTTCGCTAACTAACTAACCTCGCCGACTACCTCACTTAACCACAACATCTCGCCGCCTCGTGTCCCGTAGTATCTCCACATTCCTAAACGGCTACACGGTCACAATTCGCATCTGAGACATTTCAAAACCTGGAGTACAGGAAAAACAGCGGTTACGATGCGATGCGATGCCCTGCCGTGTTCTTGTCACCAAGGCACTACAGTAACAAAATGTCTGAAAGTGGCATGTTGTTGTTTGACCGCCTTTTGTTTTGAACATTAAGGTAGGTCACCTTTTGGAGGTAATTCTGGAATATTGACAAAAGTCAGGGTACCTGTGGGTGGTGGTGGTGGTAGGTAGGGCAAGGTCAGGTCAAGTCAGGTATTATAACCAAGAAAGTCCTGCGTCGTGCATGCCATGAAGTTCGCCACCGCAAAAAAAAAATAAAAAAAATGGACAGATGCGATCGGACCGTCCCCAACTCCTCTGATCTGATTGTAAGGACAACTTCGACAACTGTTTCAAATCTTAAATTCATCAAGGGCCTATTATCATCGCCGTTTACACCAGCGCTTCCAGGCATCAAGGTACTTGGTTCGCGCTAGGTCGAATGGTTGAATGGTCGGACGGCAGCAGCTGGTGCTCCAGCTGATGCATTCAGCACGCCCTCACTTGCCCTGTTATCAGGTTTGGTGCTTTGGGCACATGGCGGTCAAGGTAGCTACGTCATTCATGCAGTCATTTTCATGTATACCTCCATTGTTGGTATGGTCAATGCTGGTGAGGAAGCGTACCGCAAACGATGTTAAAAATAAATAAATAAAAAATTAAAAAAAAATTTAAAAAAGGGAGGAAGAAGAAAATTAACGAAAGGAAGAAAAACGGGGAACAGGATTAATATGAGACAAAAACAAGAGGAGAGAGGAGATTGTTGTTGAAAGAGGTCCGTGAGGCTGTGCATGCTCGATACGATAAAGGGGGATACGAATCCCACGTAGTCTTTACACCAGCCCAATTTCCCGGGTATTGTTGGTCGTCGGCAGTGACTGGAACGACTTGAAAAAAGAGTTTCCTGAAGCTTCGTTACAAGTCGCGACTTGGGTTATGGTCGCGACAAAGAGAATGGCAGTCTTCGTTCGGTGGGTGGGAGGCAGTTGATTGAAGGGTCAGGACGGAGCTCTTCGAGTTGCTTGGAGTTTTGCCCGGTTTGCACGTCGGTGTGCGATACCGGTAACATTTGTGTCTGCGCGCGGTAACAGTCCGGTGTCAAGGGTCGGTGGCAGATTCGGTGGACGTCGGTGACAGGTGTGGCGACGTTGAGGTTAAGGTGAGGAGGGACAGGGCCGGGGGTGGCGACATGCGATGACCGGATGAACAGGTGTCCAATGTGCTCTCTGGGTTGGAGTTACGGAAGTAATCGTTCAGTCTGTTTCGTTTACGTAAGCTTACACTAGAGAAGCTTTGTCTCTGTCTGTACCTGCTTAATGTCCGGGTGTGTCGTCGTGCCTCTGTAGCTCTCGGGCATCATGTCCTTCCTTGTGTGTGTGTTTGGACGGCAAATCCGATTCGATCTGAATTTCCGCTCCGCTGTCACGATGCTTAAAGTTTGACGCGCGTATAACAGATGAGATTGCTGCTGCGGGACGGATGCTCATGCAGGCAGAATGGGCTTTTCACATGCAGTTATACATTTCGTGACTTCGTTGGGGCTTGAATTTGGATCGCCTTGACACGACTACGTTTTTCCTCTTCATTTCTAGGCGCAAAGTAGAAAAGCTCATGCTAAGGAGCATCTCGGTGTTTACTTGGACGGCTTACTGCTTGGTCTGGAGCTTACTTTTCCTTGTGATTGTCAGCGCTTTCCAACACATACTGGTTGGCAAAACCACAGCAGAATGTGTCACTCCGGCCAGTACCTAGCAATGGCCTTACTGCGCTGCTTGAAGGTATTCTCGTGTTCATGGGGTGGAGAGTCGTCTCCAGTTGAAGGTGAACTCATTAGTCCATGAGATCTGACCCGAATTTGGAAAGCGGCCATGCCTGTCGCGTGCCGACTTCAAATTGTCGAATGACCAGGAATGACACGGCCGGCCGCCCGGACCGGCCCGTGCCGATGCATATGTATTCTGAACTCCACACTGGAACTCCACAATGAAATCTCCAGCGGATTCATTGTCAACGACAGACTTTGTGCCTTCACAATAATATCAAACTTGGTAGGAAGCTTGATAAAACTTAAGACATACCCAACTAGAGTTTTCGTCGACGTGCCGCAGACAGGACTGTAAAGCTCTGGTGATTTGGGATGTTCTCTCCGTGAACAAACACCGACGTCCTCCGTCCTGCAGCCAAGTTCAAAGAACCTGCAGCTTCTACCTATGCGGCACGCTTCGCTTGCTTGCTTGCTTACCACCTTATTTGCTTGTGCGTCTGCCTACCCCCGGCCGTAGTCAGAGCTCATGCAGCCCCATAAGGTTCTAAGTGAATTTTGAACGACCTCTCATCATTGACTGGCATGATCGAGCCTCCAACCCTCGCGGAAACCTTCTAGTTGGCGATGGTCTTGACGCTTTGTGCTTTTATTGCGATGCGTTGAGCATCAGTTGGTGGGCTCAGCTGTTGCGCAAACGTGAAAGAGCCTGTAAGTGCTTGGGCGCTCTTTCCAACTCTGCGCCCGAGTGGCCGAGCGCGATGGCGCTCTATGGACGTGCTTCAAATCTGGTTGTGGAAAACAATCCACAAGGGCAATGTCGATCCGTGAGTAACACTGCCTCATCAGCTCCTTTGCGCTCAAATGCTGTTCATGTTTGCGACGAAGAAAGGAAGAGGTAGTAGGTTCATCTGGCAGTCGCGGCGTCGGTGTGTTGACGACTTGACGTGCAGTTATATGTGGAGCACCTCCTGACTACCGAGTGGAGCCCCCGGACATGGTCGAGTCCGTCGAAAATTTCAGCAACAGATCTTGGGCCCAACTTGCCCCAGGACATCTGTCAGGGCGGGATACGATATTCTCGATGGTATGATAATTCGATCTCATTTGCTCAGCTTCTGTTTTGTGCTCGTACTGGCGTAATCAGGTGCTTGAGAGATCTGCAATCATTGAAACTGGGTCCTTCCGCCCGCTAAGATTTCTCCGTGGAAATGTTGTGAAGCCTGTATGCCGCTCTCTACGTCCAGATAGCTCAACTTCTGCATCTACAATGAATCTGGAAGTTGTTGTATCATATCCCTCGGTCAAATTCGACGCCATTTATCTCACAATCTCTAAACCGGTATTTGCGCAATGCCGGGTTTGCGCGAACAAGCCTCTCAAAACACTCGTCGATAAATTGATGGTTCTTGGGTTTAGCTCTAAACCAACTGGATGAGTCGCTAGGTATTTCAAGAATTCACACTTTGTTTCAGCCTCTCCCTCTCATCATGTATGCTGAGATAATAACAGTGGAGTGGCTGAGATGATTTAAATAACACGCTGTTGGTCGGCTCCGATGGACAATTGAGAAACTGTCTAGAAGACGCCCATCCAAGTGTCGAGAATCTAGAATTGCATGATAAGTATGTCAGTAAGAGGTTTTAGATCGTTTGTGACACAAACCGCGGAATTATGAGACAGTGTCACCTGCGACAGCGAAGGTCGAAATGGGCAATATTTTCACAAATGAACAAATGAAGTCAAATGAACGTCGGAGATGCGGTATATTGAAAAAGATACGTGAAGATAGTCCATAAGCCTTAGCTTTCAATAAAGATGGAATTATGGGAGAGTGTCTCCGAGCATCGGGGGCGGCAAGGTCTTGAACAGCCTCAGCAAGAAAATTTGTAAGGGAGCAAATGAAGGACAATGACACATTATCGAAGATCTCACGCCCAGATGGAGGCTTCTTCGGCATGATTGACGCTCCAATTCTTAGAAAGGAAGGAACTATGAAGGAGTGTCTCATGAACCTTCCCGGCCGTCTTGTCGTACCGCCAAGACATCGCCCCTGACCAATGTGGATCCGAACACGAAAGGAGATATCCTCACTGCCTTGCCACACTGTAATTCCTTGCGATAAACCATCAATAGGGGCATTCGAGGGTAATTGTTCTCTTTGTTTATGATTCAGTCTCGTTCGACAAGACAAGGCTGCGATATGCATGTGTCAGGGGTAAATGAGGGTATTCCGCCTTGCTCGGTGCAAGAACGGCCCGAAGTTCGGCTGAGTCATCGACTGGAAGAGGAAAGAGCACATCAGAAAACTCTCACGGAAGACCACAGCAGCAGCTGAGCGGAGTTATGTACTTCAAGTCTCCCTCGTCTGCTGGAATGACAGCTGGCAGGGGCCTGATGGCCGGCCAAGCACCAGAACCCCCACATCCTGCTCACATAAAGGAGAGGTGAGGGCAACTGGCCGGAAGCACAGCTTCCAGGTAAGCCACAGCATTAAGCAGGGCAGGTAGCTTCACTTTCTCGGCGGCTATCTACAGGTCTCATTGGCTACAGATACCGCTGCCTGGGCATTGGGGGGCGGAAGAAGTGGCGGCCAGGTACTGGGCTGCAATAGCTGAAGTGCAGTAGAAATCGCAAGGCAGGAACGATGGCGCCAGTGACGCGAAGAAGTGGCAATCTCCATACGATGGTAGATGCCGAGGACACTGCTTGGCCATCACGATCTTCCTGCCAGTCACATCATGCCTTCTAACTCCGAGCCGCTCCTCTGGAAGGGCCCGAGGCAACATGTCCTCTCCTCCGCTAGCCTTGCCACTCACCGGACCAGGCTCGCCGGTCTTCCTTCTTGTCGGCCTTGCGAGCCTTTTTCCTGTTTTCTGCTTCCAGCAACGCAATCTATGCGGGATTTATATTCCGGCGACGTTGCCTAGCGCCTCGTACACCTGGAAAGCAGTCATAGTGCATGGTCGGACGTCCTGTGGTCAGCGCCGAGCTTCCAACGGGTCATCATAGTCACAAATTCACAAGTAGGGCAGATAATTCATTGGTGTCGTGGTACTATGCTATGTACAATGGTCCTCCCAGTCATCCGGATGAAAATGGTGTCGTTTCTGGGTCGAAGAAGGAGTGAAACGCTGACCTCTAAGTCATTGTGAGGTTATTCCCCACTGTAGCTACAGAGGCGGGCGGCTACTTCTGAAGTCCAGGCGCTGAGCTTTTAGCTCCAGGGTACTGTAGCCTGAAGGTAACAGGCTCCCCTCTGCATGGCCCGCGGTTGTACGGCCTTCCAAGAAGTGGAATAGTAGTAGAAACCTTACCCAGAGAGCGGCAGGATGACTGAGGGGGTGCTCAGACAGACGAGATGGCCATTGATCGCTGGTGTCAGCTTCAGGGACTCATAAGCAAGGAATCAGGGTGCACTACCAGCTCCAGGCGATGCCGGTGTTAATCAGCGGCTGCCGCTAGAAAGTTGCCAGCTATGATCAAGTCAGACCTATGGGAACCCTGGGGGTGAAGATACAACTGTATGGGCAGAAACATCCGACATAGAAACGTCCAACACGACCAAGGTAGATTGGAGGTGCTTCGTCGACATCAACATTGATGTACAGGAGCAAAAGTACCTCTCACGACATGACCTTCGCAAATTCATCAGCACAGGGGCAGGTTTTGGTATGGTTCTGTATAGTTATGTGTCTGTATGATACTGTACAGAGTGGTTGGTACATCACTTGTTGGCTCAGGGCAGCACTATCGCCATGGAGTCATGGTCTGCGTGCTGATCAAGGAGTTGAAAAGGGGCCAAGACCCGGACCAGGAGGCCAAGGTTTGGCTACGGGCGTCTTCCCCCTCTTTCATCTTCTCCTCCGAACACTCTCTCATATCATGCATCTGATACCGGTGTTGTATCACTTCCCTTCGTATTACCTTGAGCCACCTTCTCCGCCACTTTTTCGTATATCTTCTCCAACCGGGCCTTAAACCGCAGGCCGTGGACATACCCCACGGCAGACGGGTCTGAGAACCTTTTCAGGCGGCTTCACCCGGATCTGGAGAAGATGGCGTGCTAAACACATGAGATTGAGGGTTTCGGGCTTCAGGGACACGGTACTTACGGTCAGGAATTCATAAAGGAGTCGTCATTCAGCTGCGGGAGTTGCTGAGCAAAGACGTGAACGGACAGAGAGCGTGCTTCAACGCCTTGGCCGTGTCAAGTCTTCATTCCTACTGTGGTGGCGTGGGTATCGAGTCCAAGTTGCTGTAGCTGTGACAGCTATCGTGTGTGGGAGTCTTGATATTGGACCGGCTGCTGGGAGGACCAGATTTCAAGGACAAGGTGGTGATTGACTGGGAATTTTATAAGTGGGGAGACGCCGGAAAACAACATACCTCCTCCCTCTGACCACATAACGCACCTTCTGGCATGGTAATGAAGACGATAATCGGCTTCAAGTGGGGAGTGATGTGGTCATGTTGGGGCCTCAAGAGGTATCCAAGGGGTAAGTCGATCAACGGCAGGTTGCAATGTGGCTACGAACTGAAGGGCAGAAGCACAGAAGTAGAGGCTTTTGAACGTACCTGCATGTCGTATATTCAGACTGTGTTGTCAGAAGGCCCGCCGCTACGACGGTGGACATGATGAGACTCCTTGCCGGTACTACATGTCTACCATTAGAACAGGTAAACATCGCGCCGAAGAAGCAACGTGGCGATTGAGGAAGGAAGATAAGGGAGAACGAGCGTGTGTGTTGACTTTAAATGATTTGTTGGCCCAACTCTCTGTGTCTGCGGATCAGCCCTACCAAACTTCTCATCCGTCACCAATGCTCTCAAACAAGCTTAAACTTGCCTGACGTACTTCAAAGTCGGAACTCCGATGTCACAGGTTCTTGTGCAGACAACAGAAGACCGGTCATCAACAGCTTCGCTGGTGGGGTATATAGCCCTTGGCAGAATGCGTTTAGGGGTATCGTTGGCTGCTGGCGTTCACCTCCATAGCTTGCTGCCTTCCCAATGTCTTGAGAGAGTCATCGGAAGTGCCCCATCATGTAAAGAGCAGTCCGGACAGCCATCGGCATAAGCACGATGCTTCGAACTTCGGCTTGTGATTGGGCTCAGCATCGGAAATAGCTGGGATGCGTGGCTATGCTTCCATGGGGGCAAGCTCGCTCTGACTGAGCTTGTCGTAAAAAAGAGGGCAGTGCTGCAGGTGGTGTGTCGAAAGTCTCGGTGGCGTTTAGAATGTTCTCGAGGCGTCGTGGGTGCCGAGTTCTCCTCCCTCCATCCCTTTTCCCCCCTCCATCTCTTTTCCTCCCTCCATCTCTTTTCCTCTCCCCTCTCCCCTCTCCCTCTTTCTCTGTTTTTCCCCTTTCTTCCTTCTCCCCCTTTCCCCTTCTCTGTTCTGTCCACTTCGTCCTCCTCTTTCTCTCCCCCAACTCCCTCATATCTCCCTTCCCTCTCCATAGGGAGACCATGGTCCAGGTACCCAGAAGCTCAAATAGAGATGCATGTCGTGTTTCCAAAAGGTCAGGGATTTTCCGGTGGGGTTTGTGAGGTCTGACTTGAGGACATGGCATCCAAGGAGGTCGATCAAAGAAGACATAGGATTCCAGACAAAGACATTGTACACTTGTTCGTCTTTTTAGTCCTTAGCGGGTCAGAATAGGTGACTTGGTTCGTGGATGAAGACTGAAAAGAGAAAGAAATACGGGTTACCGGTCTAGAGTGTCACTTGAGACATTGTCCTCGGTCCGGAACCATTTAGGAGCCACATGGTAGAAGTAATTTGATTAAAATGATGTCTGGACCAGGAGTCATGTCTGATGAGATTCGGACATAACCGTCTTTATAGACGAGCTTACGTTCGTCAGACAAACTTGGTGGGCGGAGATGTCATGTACCAGGCATGTCCCGCTTCGTTTGGAGTCAAGGGAACATGCCTGTCATACGAATCTTGCCAACGACATCACTAGGTGAAAACTTTATATGATTCTGATTATCTCTAACTAGAGAAACAGGAACGGAAGCACCATGGAAATGGAGCTAGGAATTGCAACAACGAGGAGATAAGAATAAAGAAGATAATGAAAACCAACAGAAAAGGGCGTGAACTGGTACAGCTTTCATCTGTTGAGGCCATGTTGCAACCTGAATGCCTATGAAGAAGATAATAGGTTTTCAGAACGCGCCTTTGGTGTATATTTTGTTCTTCCTATCTTTGGGTTCCTTCTGGAGAGAAAGACCCTGTCTGTTACCCTAACTCTACTTCATACAATGGTTTTTTGTGAAACAGAGTTTGAGTAAAAGACCGAGGCTTCCTCACATCAACGGGTATGTCTTGTTTTGACTTTCTTCGTTGTATCGCTTCTTTGTTCTTTCTTTTCGTTGTTCGATGAAGGGAGGAGATCGGGTGATCGCCGGCACTACGATCGATAGTAGGTAAGGTATGTGCCGCATCGTTGGAAAATGAGTGTCGAGAAGGCGCTTTCCTGTACGGAAGAGAGTAGATAGAAGAAAAAGGGACTCCCAATTGTGTCTGCTAGAGACAACATATGATGTGACAAGTAAAGGTAACGGAAGATAGAAAAGTTGAGAAGTTGAAGGGGAGGACAAGCGGCTTGCTAGGGACCAGAAACAGAAGTGAATGCCAAATACTTCTGAACGACACTCAGCTTGACGGAAAAAGAATTTGCACCTTGTAGTGGAGAGCCTGCGATGAGACAAAAGGTGTGATGTTGTTTGAGGGAGGGAAAAAAAAGAAAAAAAAAGACGAAGGAAAATGTGTCAGAACATCCAACCTCGGAGCAGGAAAATATGGCCACGAGCATGTTCTGCGAGAGAAACAAGGAAACAAGACTTGGAGATGTACGGGAGGACAGCATAGCAATGTCCAAGTACCGCATTTTAGCTTCGCAATGTCGTCTCCCACATATGAGTGTTTCCTACTGCTGTAGGCCACTCCAGGAAACGCCTCAACTAGAAGCAAAGACCCTGAATGGGAACAGTTCAACTGCCGACAGGGTATGTACTTGCCACGTGCTGGACCTTGCACAGGCTCTATGACAAAAATCTGGTTAGCTTGCCAATCACAAACGCTTGTTCACGATCGTGCCACCTCTCGAAGTGACCGCATTATTCCTAGATTTGTGTGGGGGGGGGGGGTTGTTAGGTGGGAGGCGCAAGTGGGGAGCGCCGTGAAGTAAACTCCGTCGTGTCTACGGCTTGAATTCAGGGTGCATCTTGCAGCTCGGTTGTCGTGCTTCTGCTAGATACACTCGGAAGTGGCTGGTGGGGGAACTGCGTAGGTATGCTCGGATCTGGAGTTCATCATCGTCGCCGTCATCTCGCTGTTGGTGGCAGTCGTTGGTCGGTGGAGATAGAAGTCTCTTGTTGGCGATACATGGAAAGGATGCTTGGCATTGGTGCGTCGATGGCGAGGAAAAGGATCGGGTAAAAGGGGTGAGATAATGGGGGTAAGCCCAAAAAACCTCAACATCTGCGAGCGGAGGCAAAAGTCGATAGGTAACGTAGTTGCATGATCATTCCCCGGCATTACCCCAAGTGGAAGGTTGGCTTGAAGACGTAGGACATTATGGAGGCGGAGACAGCGAAGTAGTCAAGAAGCAAGCACTTGGCGTGGCTCGGCAGGTAGGTGCAAGTTCAGAATACTGTGACTCGGTGCTAGTCTCGTCGACGTCCTCTCGACGCCCACTCCACTCTAGGTACCTGGAGAGATGGCAAGAATACTTGACATCAGGCGTAGCACCCGACTGTTACCCTTCCAGCTGTCCTGGCCTCGATCTCGACACATGTTAGCCAACTCCGCCATCATGTCGATACTCTGTGGATATGTGGGTACCTTTGCAAAGTTGATGCCGTAGACGTGGAGATTCTCTGTGTTAAGCGCTGATTTTAGACCATGGGGATACGATACAGCACCTCAACCGCTCAGGTTGAAGCATCGATGTTCTTGTCTCGCCCCCCCCAAGTTCATGCACCTGTGCCATGACGGTACGTCGTGGTGTGGTTCTGCAGCATGAATAGTGACCAGAGAAGCCTTGCAAGCTGGTAAGCGTTGGTAATTGACTGAAAGACAATATTTTCTTTTTCTTCTTTTCTTTCAGGGGGGGAGGAGGAGGAGGGGATGTACTTGGCTCTCATAAACCTGCCGAAATCTTGGTACTGGGAGGCAGTGCATAGGCACAGGATGACTGGCCTTCTATTCGCAGTGTCGAAGAAGACGCGAATATCGTACCCCCTTGTCAACGCTGCGGTAGAAATGTTGCGCAGCCCTTCGTTCGCATAGAAACTCAAGTCCAACTGTTAGTCACTGCCACGTCTGCCAAGTTTGGAATAGGGGTGTATCGTTAGAAGATGACTGACCTTCTTCCTGTCCAGTGACTACTAACTGCTGTACTCCAGAATGTGGGTCGCCTGTAGCTGAGCTACGCCGAGCAACAAAATAAATGAGAGCGAGAGTTCCTAAATATGGAGGTGGAGGTGGAGGTGTAGGGGGGATTCAGGACGCCTTTCCGATAAGGCAGGGGCCGAGCAAGAACACGCCTCCTTTTCTGGAGCAGAATTGGAGAAACAGGCAGAGCTGTCCTCTCCCCTAACGGGTACAACCGATAAGTGCATAACCTGTCTGCTTGTTAGTCATATCTTAGAAAACACTACCGTAATGTGATGCATGGTATTGGAGAACCTGCAGTCAACTCCAGTCAGCCACCATCGCAGTCTGCTTTTGGTGGCCTTGCAGAAGGTCCTGCTGCGTGGATGATGGTGGGCTGGGTGGACGTGGATGTTGACTTACCGAGCCAGTCTTTCAAACTGGCATAGTAGTATGGTGTCAGGTCAAGACTGTTTGCGAGTGACAGCTTGGGCAATGAAGCCTAGAACACTAGCAAGTACGGAAAAGGCGAAGGATGAAGGGGGGAAGGATCAGGGAGGTTGAAAAGGGAGAAAAGGCAAGGATGCCAGAATATAATGAAAGGAAAGAAAAATCAGAGACAGAGGGATAGAAGATGAACAGACATCAAATAGAAACAAGACGAAGCAGAACACCGACGGCCATGCCATCCTTTCATCCTGTTGAGTTCGTGGAGCAGGATGGGTAATACAAATTGAAGTGATAGAAATTAAAACCCAAAACACTGAATGACAAGATCGATGGTGCAGGAATTGGAGCATCGCGGATTTGAAATGCTAATTTGAGGTCAACAAGAGAAGAAAGGAAAAATGGTTTGAACAGCTTCTTGAATGTGTCCTGATCGTAAAGTCTTGTGGATTCTGTGGACGGGCATATCGCAAACGTGAAATGTCACAAAGCAGCGGCCTGCCCCGCTTTCAAGTGCTTCCCCTCGCCGTTTGTTACGAAAGTTTACGGGGTAGGTAGCCAGGAGGATTCGCCAATACACGGATCAGGCATAAGACTCACGTATTGGCAATCATTGTCTGTACTCACGAGGACTAGACCCGTCCTTAACACGCTGATCGTGAATTTTTATGCACCTTCTTTCGTCTCGGTCTCTCTTCAGACCGATACCAAGTGCCAGAAAAAGGACTGAGTTTCCAAAGGTTCCGTTGTTTGGGCCCGACCATCCCCAGAAGCATACCAAGCTCATTGTACCCAGTCTTAGCCATGTCCACTCCAACAGCTGGAACGCACAGGCGTCTATTGGGCGCTTTCGCTCGACCTTAAGTTCCCTACTCAATCCTAGCCCTCTTATTCTCACCCTGTTCATCCTTTTCTCCACCACCATCAGCCGGATCCTCTACATCCTCCCTCCTCCTCACGGTACCAGCACCTTCACCAAGCTCTCCTCCATTTACGCCACCATCTTCCTCTCCTTCGATCTCAATCTCAACCTCCTCTTCCCCACCGATCCAGTTTCCTTGTTCATCGAAGTACTCGTGCACGTTCTCCGCCGTGATCCACCCGGAACTGCCAGGCATCGGCGGCGGCAGACCTCCCGAATTCGACCCCGCAAACACGCCCTGGAAACCTTCAATGACATCGCCCTCAAAGACTATCCTGTCATCGTCGTAGTCTTCGTCTTCGTCGCCTTCCTCGACGGGGTCGGGGTTGAGATCGGAGCAAGCGGAGATGGCTTTGTAGAGTTTTGTTGCTTCATTGTCGGGTTGTTTCTTGCCGATTGTTGGCTCCTCCTCGGTTTCGGTTTGTTGGGATTCGGTGGCAGGAGCAGGTGGGGGAATGAGGGTGAGTTCGACGGTTTCAAAGTCGTCGTCGTCGGCGCCGCCGTCGGGGGAGAGCTCGAGCTGGAGGAAGACGGAGGGGTACTTTGTTTCGCCGGTGCCAATGGTCTTGATCGCGTGAATGCTAATCACGGGGTAGGGGATCTCAAAGCCAACTTCGGCGGAAGGGGAGAATATTGTGAGGTTTCTGCAAAGAGGAGGGGTGGGGTTGTTTAGTTCTGTTCCAGCGCGTGAGGACCTTGACGGTTAGAGAGCAGATGGACATACTGGGAATTGACGTAGAGATCAACTTTCTGCTCAACGGTTTCCTCAGCACCCTCACTCAAAGCGGCACCTTCAGGAGCTGTAGGTTCGGCCTCGAGGTCGGCCGGGAAGAAGGGCAACCTGCCGCGCTGCGACTTGGGAATCCAGGCCTTTGCGCCGGTCGCATGGTAGTAGAGGACTGGTTTTCCGCCGAAGAATGTCTCGGGAGTTTGTCGGAGGTGCTCTTCAAGAGGTTTGAAGTCCGCAAGAGCGGGCGGCGTCCGGATCGTGGTAGGTGCCATTTTGTTGGTTTGTTATGTTTTTGTTAGAATTACGTACAAGTTACCTCTACACTACGAGCTTGAGGTTGTGAAACTGCTGAAGCTCCAGAAGCTCTGGGGCTTTGGGCGACCTATCTTTTAGTGGGTCCGATTTGCTCCATTATGGGGCTTATCAGCTTATCGTTCCCGCTGTGGAATGACCCCTGTAGCTCCATCGACACTCATCATCGCTCAACTTCCAACTGCACCAGACTGGAACATCCCCGCGCATCCAAGTTCAACAACGTCAACATCGCTTCCCTCAAGTCGGATAGGAACCTCGAAATAGACTCACGACACAGCCGGTACTACCTCAATTGATATACCCTTACAATCACCTCGAATTGCCGCAATCTAAACCCCTCAGATACACGGCACTCGAGCACTTCATCCACTTTCTGCCCCTCGTCCTGGTCCCAGTCCTCAAGGTCCTTCGTCTGGCCTGAAACACCACTTCCACCTCTCAGCCTCGCAGAATTTCCTCACCACAACTCTTCAAAATGCACGACAACCGTAAGTCGCCCACCCCCAACCCTTTTCTCCCATTCTTCCTCTCCCTCCTAACAACATCCTAACTAACACTCCCCTTCCTTACTTAGGAACCCACCCCCTCCTCCAACAACTCCCCCTAACCGTCTCTCCCTTCGTCTCCCTTCCCTCCTCCGCCACTTTACCCTACACTTACAAGCCCATGCCAAGCGCCCTCCCGCCCTCTCCATCCGGCGTTGGCGTCAACACCCCCAACCACTCCGAAGGAGGCGACCCAACAACATCAGCGTCCTCCAACAACAAACCAAAATACATCATCTCCCCTGCCTCTGGCCACGCCGCCCACCCAGACGACATTATAGCCTCATGTCAGGCTCTACAAGCGCACGTGGCCAAGTTACAATCTGATGCCAGTGCGGAGCTGAAGGCTTTCGAGGAGAGGATCAAGAAAAGGGAGCTGGCTGAGAAGAGACGGGTGGCGCCGGGGTGGTTGGATAGTGAGGCGAGGTTATTGGAGCCGGAGCGGAAGGGTGGGAACTCCAGCTCCACTAAAGGAGAGAACGGTGGAGGGAGCTTGTTGGATGCGCAAGATGGCGAGGGTGAGGAGCAGCAGGGAGGAATTGGGGGGAAGGATGGCGGTATCGCTGGGTTGACTCAAAGGTTTGGTGGGCAAGGGTTTGGGTTGGCGCACGGAAATGGGGGTCCAAGTGAGATGGCGGTGCCAGATCAAGGCGAGGAGTTGGACAGGGCGTTTGGGGTGGTGGGGATGGGTCAAAGGTAATGTTGTGGTTGTGTTTCACGATGTGAGTTTGCGATCACGGAAAGCCGGTATCGGTAATACGATTCTTTCAAACTCTGCACCACTACCTCATAGCCCAGCGAAGTATCGTAGCAAATTGGGTTGGGGAGTGAACAGGTGAACACAAAGACATTTGAACATGGAACAATCGGATGTGATTGACGACCTGATGAACTGCGTGACTGAAACTATCAGCTAGAAGCGTCTGCCTGTGGCATATCTTGATCGACATTACAGCTCCCTCATAACCTCCTCGACGGCCTTCAACGCCAACTTCCTCCTTTGCTCCTCCGGTACTGTGCCGCTCATATCCCTAACAGCTTGCAACTTGAGCATCATCTTGGCGATCTTCTCCACATCTTCCTCTCCTATCTCTTCTTCCTCCTCTACCTTGTCTGCCCCAGACCCAGACTCGGCGCTCGGTCCAGCCTTTGCTGCGTCTGTGGCAACAGCAGCGGACTCCCCCTTCTCCTCACCTTTCTTCGTCGTCTTTTCCTGCCCTTCTATTGTCTGCGTCACGCTCTTGGACGCCTCCAACTCTTCTTCCGCCGTCCTATTCGAATCCGCAGTCCCCTTCAGGAACGCCTTCCGCATTTCCATTTTCTGCTTCTTGGTGTACCCAAAACCAAGATCGAACTCATCCTCAGTATCCCCGTCGTTTTCATCAACGTAGTCCTCTTCGTCTTCAGACTCGTCGAACAGCCCACGATTGTTGTTGTTGTTATCGTTGTCGCCCTCGTCGCCGTCTCCGCCTGACCAGTCATTAGACTGCAGTGCCTCCAGGACTCGCGCGATGCCCATCTTTTCGCCATATTCGTTTCTCTTCTCCTCCCCTTTGTTGTTGTTATTGTTGCTGCTGCCAACAACCCGATGATGAACAAACTCCAACCCCCACTCCGCACACAAATCATCCCATTCATTGATCTCATCTTCCATGTCGACGTCCATTTCAGCAATAGTAATCTCACCACCACCATCACCACCGACATCTGACGCCGTCGCCATTGCTGTTGTTGTTGCTGTTGTCGTAACGCCAACAGCCAACCCCACACCCTCCCACTCCCACCCACCTAGTCCCTCCCGCACTACCTTGCCCACCCCTTTAATCAACTCCCTAGTCTTTTCTTTCTGCGCTTTCATCTTGGCATCATTATCGCTAGAAGCGGACGACCCCGGTGCAGATGTAAAAGGAATCTCAAAGACACAAACAACCCCGCCCAAAACCCCCAACACCTCCTTCGCCTCCTCGCTCAGAAAGCTCGCTGACCAATCGCCAGGGGAGGAAATCAGGTCTAGCCAGATGGGGATGGAAGCAGTGTAGTACGGTGTAGAGAGGGGGAGGTGGTGGGTGATTCCTGCAAGGGAAGGTTCCGGTGCCGTGTGCTCTGATGACTCTTCTTCATCTTCGTCTTCTTCTTGTGAGGGTGGTTGTGGTTGTTGTTGTTGGGGAGTGGGGGCCGTGCCGGTTAGGTCTATTATTTGTTAATCGATGGGGAAAAAAAAAAAAAAAATGTTTGAAGAGGGGGGAAGAGAAAGTGGTGGTAAAAGGTAAAGCCCTGGTTATGTGTATGAGAGAATAGGAATGATATGGGAAGTAATGAAAGAGGAGAAGGGCAGAAAGAAGGACGTGATATGGCATGGCATACCTCTGATGACGGCACCGAGATGGTCTGAGGAGTCGGTGAGGGCGACTGCTAAGATTCGGCGCGGGTTGACGATTTCTTCCACTTTGGTAGACACCATTTTGTCAAGGTTCTTGACTAAGAAAAAAAAGATGGGTTTGTTGTTTTGTTGAAGTGAGGGGTTCCGAGAAAGTAAGTCGCCAAGTGGTGTACTGTAGTGAGATGAGCATGGGGATGATAGTGACGCCTGCCTATGGTAACCGCAGCGTTGAACCGTGACGCCACAGCAAGTGGAACGGGCAACAGTCAGTTGGTGTGGGAAAAGTGGATCTCGGTGGCTTACGAGTAGTATGAATGTGGCGCATATCATTCACGGACTACGGTCGCCATCATCAACATTTATTCACACAGATTTTCAGCGATCATATTCGTAGTTCTGATCTCTGTATATACACTACATCATCCATGCCCGCTGTCGATGATGTCCATCATCTCAAAGCAAATGTGTTAAGCACCAAAATGAAATATGCGCTCTTGTTTTCCTCCATCATCATGAACCCAACCCAGAAAAAAAAGACACCCCCTCCATCCCGAGTTTCCATCTCATCATTCGTTGGTCTATACCCTTCTGAATCATACTCCATGATCCATCAGGTCATTTCATAACATGACATAATCCCATTTTAACTTGCATCTGTCTCTTTCTTTTCAGCATCTCCAAGAGAAATTTAGTTTTCCCCATCCTTCTTTCCCTCATCTCCAGTCCCGCTTCCCTCAGCAGTGGTAGCCGTGCTCGGCTGTTCATCCTCTTCATCAACATCAACCAACTGCTTGGTCTTGTACGCCTTCTTGGCGATCTTGACCAGCGTGTCGTAGTCACCGCTCATCTCGCACATACTCCTGAAGCTGCCATCGGTCTTCTGCATCAGCTCCCAAGGATGTGCGTATTCGACAATCTTGCCCTTGTCCAGCACAAGGACCTTGTCGTAGTCGGCAATGGTCTGCAGACGGTGGGCAATAGTGATGATGGTGCTGGTCAACTCGCGGATGGTCTCCTGAATGGCGGCATCGGTGGCGTAGTCGATCGAGGCGGTGGCCTCGTCCATGACGAGAACGGTGGGCTTCTTGAGCATGGCGCGTGCCAAGCAAAGAAGCTGCCGCTGACCCTGCGAGAGGTTGTTGCCGGACTCGGTGACGGGAGAGGAAAGGTCGAGGAAGATGTTCTTGTTGGTAGCAGTGGCGGGGCGAGAAGGCTCCGACTCGCTCTCAGGGGCAACGGGGGTCTGAGGAAGAAGGGCGGTGCTGACGGCACCAGGGATGACCTCATCAGCCTTGATCAGGTGCACGCGGCGAAGAGCGGCAAAGATCTCCTCATCAGTGTACATGTTGAAGGGGTCGAGGTTGGTCCGGATGGTACCCATGAAGAGGGTAGGCTCCTGAGGAACGATGGTGAGAGCCTCACGAAGATCACGGAGACCAATCAAACCAATATCAATACCGTCGATCAGGATCTTGCCCTCATCCGCCTCCAGAGCACGGAAAATGGCCAAAGTCAGGGAACTCTTTCCAGCACCAGTACGGCCCACAATACCAATCTTCTCGTGGGCTTCAATCTTGAAGGTAAGGTTGCGAAGCACGGGCTCCAACTCAGCCCTATAACGTGTAGTGTAGTTGATGAACTCAACAGAGCCGTGGGCAGGCCAGTTCGCAGGCGGACGGTTGTCCTCAACGACAGCCACGGCCTCTTGCTCGACGTCAAGGTACTCCTTGATGCGCTCAACGGAGTTCATGTTCTGCTCGTTCATCGCATAAAGACGAACCAGCCAGAGGATGTTATCCGCAAAACCGATAGCATAGCTGAGAGAAATACCCGCAGAACCAGGATCGATCTTGCCGAGGCTGAGAATGACGAAGACTCCAGCAGAGAAAGCAACGAGATCACCAAGAACATCAGTCCTGAAAGCGAGCCATCTGTTGGCAGCCCAAAGGTAGATGAACGGGCGGATCTGAGCGTTGATCTTGGCAAAGTTTTCCCGAATGAAACGTCTCTCAGCACCATACGCTCTGATGGTGACGACACCGCTCAAAGTCTCTCCGAACTGCTGGAAAAGAGGGCTGCGTTGCACGGACTCCAGGCGCTTCAGGTCGCGCGAGGCATGGAGATAGAAGGCGCCAAGGAAAACGTACAGGATAGTGATGAAGAAACCGGCAATCAAGAAACCGGGAGTAATCCAGGCAATCAGAGTAACAGTGACGCCAATTCCGAGGACACAACTCATGACTCCGATAGCAATAGGCGCAACCTCCTGGTCAATGGCCTCCAAGTCCTTACTGAAACGGTTCATGATCTGTCCGAGAGGGGTGACATCGAAGAACTTGAAACGGGCACCAGCGACGGCACGCATCAGACGCTGGTGGAGCTTCCACGAGGCAGTCAAGGAACCGAAGAAAATCCACATGTCCCTGGCGAAAGCAGCAACGGCGCCACCGATACCGATGATGGCCAGCACGGTCAAGTAGTAACCGACGTTGACATCACTATTCGAGGTGGTCGAGAAAGTGTTGCTGTCGTTGCCCTTGATGTAGGTGGCGATCGAAGCAAAGTAGGTAGGTGAGACGGTCTGGCTGGAATAGCTCTGTGAGTTCATGTTGAAGGTGGGGGCAACAACCTCGTCCGTAGCGTATTGGTTAGCCCATTCCTTGATCCACAGACTGGTGGCGACACCAGAGAACTGCTGAGCGCCAAAGACAACCGCGGATAAAACCCAGAACCACCATTTACCCATAGCGGTAAGGTAGAGCTTCATGACAGGCCACTTAACAGCACCAGTAGCCTTGCTTTCTTCCATAGCATCCTGTTTCTTGTGCTCCTTCTTGATCGTCTGAGCCTTAGTCTGAGATTCACTGCCGTCGGCCTCGTTGATGATGGTGTGGTCACCTTCCTCTCCGACACTAGACGGAACCCGGGAAGGGACGCGAGAGACATGCGCGGAGCCAGGATAGGACTTTTGGGCGAGGTCCTCGCCGAACTTGCCAGCCGCGATGAGCTCCTGAGGGGAGCCCTGTGCAGTAACACGACCATTGGCCATCTGGACAACGAAGTCGGAGAAAGGAACGCAGAGAGGGATGTTGTGAGATACGAGGATGCATGTGCGATGCTTCATCAAAGGACCCATGATGCAGTTGCTGAATATCCACTGAGCGGTGTGAGAATCAACGGCGCTAAGGCAGTCATCCATAAGAAGGTGCTTAGAGTTGGAGTAGACGGCACGAGCCAGCGAAATGCGCTGCTTCTGGCCACCGGAGAGGGTAATGCCCTTCTCACCGACCAAGGTCTCATCGCCGTTATCAAGAATCTCCAGATCACGCTCCAGAGCGCAAGCAACAATGACATCCTTGTATCTCTGCTCATCAAGCGGTGCACTGAAAAGAATGTTGTCCTTGATAGAACCATTGACAAGCCAGGCTTGCTGGGCAACATAGGCGCACGTGTCGGCAAGGCCAGTTTCGGGGTCGGGGCGGACATCCTCACGGCTGCGACCTCCGGGAAGGAAGACACGACCCTTGAGAATGGTCATCTCACCAAGCAAAGCCATAAGCATAGAGGACTTTCCGCATCCCGTGGGGCCAGTGATGACGTTGAGCTTGCCCTGCTGGAATTCGATATTGAGGTCAAGGAGGCGGAAAGCCAAGCTTCCATCCTTAGCAACAGTGTTCCTGCCGCCCCAAATGAAGCTGGCGTCCCTGAAACCAATAATCTTGTTGCCGTTCTCGTCAACGCTGTCCTGACCCAGTTGCTTGTACTTTTCGGTCTCCTCCTCAGATAAGAACTCCTCAATACGATCTACAGACACCTTGGACTCCTGAACGTGGGCAATCATGTCTCCGAGCTGGTCAAGCGGATAGCGGAGCAGCATAAACAGAGAAATGGCGGTGAAGGCGATGGAGGGATACAACGGCTTCTTCTCGATGACGGTGTAGACGAAGAAGGTGAAGAAAGTGATGAGGATAGGAACCGTGTTCCAGACAGCTACTGCACAAGCCCAGACCATGTACCGAGTCCGCAAGGCCTTGAGCTCTGCCCGTCTCTTCTCATCAACAATGGTCTCAAACCTGTGCTCCCAAGCAAAGTACTTGATGATCCGGATGTTTTGGAGGACTTCGTTCGTGGTGTGGATGCGCTTGTCAGTAGCCGACATGATCTTCTTCTGGGTATACTGGAAACTCTTGGCGAAGCCAATGTTGACAGGAAGGAGCAGAGCCATGATGATGAAACCAGGGATGGCACTGTAGCCCATGACGCTATAAAGCAGGATAATGGCTACAATCAGCTGTGTAGGAGCCGAGGCAATGAGGAAATGAAGGTAGCTAGTGACCTCAGAGACCTTGAAGCTGTCGACGGACATCAAGGTAGTGATGGTTCCCAGATTGGCCTGCTCATCAGCCTCGACGGCCTTATCCTCGGCCTTTGTAACGGCAGCCTCAGCCGCAGACTGATCATTGGCCTTCTTGTCATCCTTCGCAAGACCCAAAGCGCGCTTGAGCTTTGCGCAGAAACCCTTCTTGGCGGGAGCTTCATCCTTCTTGTCTTCGCCGAGAACCTTGTCGTTACCGGCGGCAGCCTTTCTCCTAAGCGCCTTTGCGTAAATCTCACCGACAAGGATAGCACGAATGTTGATGCAAATCTTGCGACCAATCCAAAGCGCCTGGGCATCGCCAACAGAGCGGACAATATCAGTGATGGGGAGAAGGATCACGTAGAGCCACAAAACGTTGCGGGGAGCCTGGGTCGGGTCTTCAACATATTCGAGGATAGCCTTGAGTAGCAGGGTGGGCGCAAAGGTGAAGGCGCCCGACATAACAGCCCAGGCAGCCTGCGCAGCAACCATACCCTTGAAGTAGCTCAAGAGGTGGTAAGCCAGCGAAGTGGTCTTCTGCACTTGGCGGTAGTTGGCCAAAACGGTAGCGGCTTTGTCAGTAGGAAGCAAATTCCAGACCCGGTCGGCAGTCAACGGCTCCTTCCAGCCTTCCCACATGATGGAGTCAACCCAGCCGAAAGTGAAGTGGGAGAAGAGAGAGGCCAAGTTCTCGCGACTGGGCTGGATACCGTCCTCCCACTCGAGAATGACCGTCTTGTTTCCCTTGCGTGTGCTGATGGACATGAAGAAGAGGAGCGAGGTCAGAGCGAAATCGACGATGGTCAAAGTCTGCCTGAGTTGCGTCGCAGGATGGACAATGACGGAGCGGAAGCCAATGAGCGAAAACAGCCACTGGGCACAGTAGATGGCAGCGGTGTGGTTCCAGAGGTGCGATGCGCGCCATTGGGTGTTTCTGAGAATGAGACGCAGCGCGGCGAGAATCAGGACATAGGTCCAAGCACTGAGACCAGCAATGGCGGCAATCTTGCCGTGAGGGCCGCTGTAGGCTTCGAGAACCAATGCGACAACATTGACACCGACCAGACCGGCAATGGCGAGGATTTCGATAACGGGAAGGACAGTTTGACCAGCAGGAGTATCAGCCTGCACGATGGAGCCCTTGGTAGTGACCTTGGCCAGTGCAAGGCGGCCGCCATTCATAGTCAGCGCTTCATCTTCGTCACTCTCGTCGACCGGTTCTTCGTCTCTGGGTAAGTAGGTGCGGTCCTGCTCGTTATCGGCGACGCGATCGTACCCATGGTTCGGTTTTAGCTTGGCAGCTCGGAGGAGATTTGAGGTGAGAAGTCGTAGTAGGGACAGCCCTGCGACGATCAATGGTAGGAGGATCTTGAGGTAACTGTGGAAACAAGTTTGTTAGCGGTCGGCGGTGGTCAAGATAAGAGAAGATAAGCGCAAAGCTGGCGATGGCGTTGTTGGGACATACTCTTCCTGGAAACATGGCGTGAAATCGTCGGTCCGCCATATCGGCCACCCGCACTGAGCGAAACCCATTTCGCGCGCTCAGCAGCGCCTTCGTGTGGCGAGCGAGCTGGAGACAGATGAGGTGTGTGTTTTTCCAATGGCCTGGGCGTTGATGATGTCTCGGGACAGCGGGTGATACAGCCCAAAAAAAGACGTGGGAACTTTGCTGTTTTGTCGCAAAGTCCGGCTGAGGGTTGGTTGGGGCCGTCGAGATGTTGATATTCTCTGGCGGGCTAAATAAGTATGCGGCGAAGGAAGACGGAATTCCTCGAGAGCGAGCGAGGTTCAAGAGGAATGAATTTTCCGGAACTCGGTCGACTTTAAGTTGGATAAGAAGCTGAAGCAACTCCAGTCTTGGGTGGATGACGGGATGGGCCTTGGTTCTCTGGTCTTGGCTGGGATTCGCCGTACTGAAGTTGCCTGTCGTTCCCCGCTGTGGATGAGGGTGAGTGGTCAGCGCGAGGTCTGCCTGCTGCAACCCTCCAGTATTTTCGCTATGAGCAATTGCCCGGCACGCCGGTGGGGTCGATTGGACACCTCTTTGGTGTTTTTTGGGGCTTTTTAGCCTTGATAGTGGGGCTATCTCGTCTTTAGACCTGCCAGTTGTCAATTGAAGACTTTTTGTGATCATTTGGAATCAACAAGCGGTGGCCTTTCAGTATGCATCGTCTGGTCCTTGACAAACCAGAAAGTTGATCTTCCACTAGACTAGGTGTTCCGGGCTTGAGTTGCCGAGTCAAAAGAACACGACTGAAGCTATGTAAGACGGCAAGGCCCGAAGGGGAAGGTCGCATCAAGATGGCTGTATTATACATCACAAAATCCCCGTCGACTACCTAAACAGCCGGTAACACATCGATATCTCGAAGCAACTGAAAACTATCGTTTTCCGGCCAGGCAGATGTATAAACTCCTCATGTTGGCCATATCACACCTTATTGTGGGCTTCGAGGCTCGTCATCATCAGCATCATCATCATCATCATCATCATCACCACCACGACCTCTTCTTTGATGCCTGTTACCAACACGTTATATCTTCATCCTTAGGAAGAGTCTCCCACCTTTGCGCTTTCTTATCGCTTTCTGTCCCGCCTTTAGATCGATTACAACTTTGATTGGACCAGAGAACCCTTGATTGTGTCTGACGCAGTACTTGTACACTACTCTTAGACTCCAGCCTCCTCCGCATTTGGCGCTTCGTCTCTAAGTGCCCAAGTGGAATCCGGACCCCCGGAAGCTGGGACAACTGGGGAAACTAGTATGTGGGTTTGGGACTTGGGAATTGGAGTTGAGAACTGGGGGGCACAACGCTCGAGCCACCTACCTACCTATGGCGTCGCATTGTCAACATGTTGGTTTGACCTTGGATGATACAATTAAGATAAGTCACCCTCGTCGACTTTTTTTTGAATCACATCGGATAGAACAAGCATAGCCGATCAGGTTGCGCAAAATATATCTGTCGACGGGCACAAGGGGAGGTGGAAGGGGTTCCCGTCGTGATGGACAACTGAAGATAAACAGCTGCGAGCCATCCATGTGACAGCTAACATGAAAGGACACGGAAACAAGGGTCCTTATGTCCATGCACAACCTAACGGGTACGTATCCCAACTAGCAACCGAACCTCCACCACATACCGCACGCACTCCGCCGTTTCGTAACATGTCAATTACTGTCATGACAACCTTGGATTGTTAGACCTGGAGTTCAGTTCTGAGCCATCAAATCCAGGTTCCAATACCACCCTTCAATTGACATTTCAATCGCTTCAGCTTCACCTCATTCGTGGTCCATCCTCTAAATCCAATCTTTGGGACCGAACGGTTACAATGATTGCTACCTCACAGGTAGGTATGCAGTGGTGTGTGTACCTCGCATTCTATACAGTAGGTACACTATTGCTGCACGCAACCTTGGTGTTTGGGGCTCGTATGTAATCAGTCTGATTCATACCAACAGATGGCTATTCAATCAGATCCTAATCAAGCTCTCTCTCTTACTGCTTCGTCTCACAGACAACATATCAACATCAACTCACAGCATGGGATTGGTCAGATATTTCCGGCGCTATACCTAATAAAGTTACACCGAATTGAGTGACATCGTACTGGACCGGTATGACTCTTTCCACCGGGCTTTCCACGCTGCATACGCAGGGTCGAGGGTTGTTGCAGTCTTGCATCAACTGGCGAACTCATCCATAGGTCAACCGCCAAGTTGCCCTCCATTACTATCACCAAGTAGCTCGCTATAGGTAGTTGGTATACCGTAGAAACTCGGGAAATTCGCCATAGTTAATCTCCTTTTTCAGCGCCGGGCAGGGCATAACGCGGCGCCCCGTAAGCCAGCATCTGCCAGCAGATGTGTCTATCCAGTTAGTGAACACTCGACGACATTGCCCATCACTGTAACTTGCGTGCGTTTCAATGCACAGGATCGGGCTTGCCCTGTACAGATATGCCCCCTGCCCGGCGCTGAAAGAGGAGATTAACTATGGCGAATTTCCCGAGTTTCTACGGTACTATATCAAGTCGCTTCTGCTTCAATTCTGTCTGTCATCACTACCTGAGCATTGATCATAACAGCACCAACCACCAACCAGCCATTGAAACTACCGCTCCGCAAATACATATATAGGTACTCTGGTACTCTACCGTACCGCACATGCTGTAAAACAAATTTGTGGTGAGAGGATAGAAGCATCCAAAGCGTTCAACACAACTCGTTCAGAAAAATTATAAAATAAACGGCACGGCGGAGAAGGAATCACGGTTTATATATACATTGTAAATAATGAAAATTAACTATATACGTTGTGGTGAGGTATCCAACAAAGCCTCAAGGTCCAACCAGGTAAATACAAGTAAAAGTGAGTCCCCATCAAAGCCGCTTTTGTTGCTGTCAGCTCAGCAGAGGAAGGACAGACAGAGAGAGGTCTTCGATCGTCCAAAAAAATGCAGATTGAATGCGCCATAGGTATAAAGGGTGTGCTCTGACCAACGAAAGAAGAGGAAAATATCTCCCGAGTCATCCACGCCCCTCCCGTATTCTTATCGATCAGTCATTTCATAACCCCATAAAATCTTTCACTCTGCTAACTCTCCCTCACACGATTGCGTAGCCGCCGTAATGACATGTAATCCAATTGCTCATATCATGATTCCTCTCACTTCACCCATGTCATCGTTAGCTTCTTCCATCTTTGCTCATCACAACAACTGCCTCGTCACCGGCGGCTGTCCCTCTTCCTGATTAACAGTCGTCCCGGTCAATTGCCTCTCCACTGCACCGCCTTCTCCCGCTTCCTCTGATTCAACACCGGTGTCCGCCGTACCCGCTGCCGCCATTGACACCACAGGAGAATGCATCTCCGGCATCTCGATCGGGCTCGTGACAAAGTACGGCTCACCCGCTTCCATTGCTGACCCGCTAGCAATCGGCGTATTGGCACTCCCCTCCCCTAGAAACCTTGTGGTCACACCCACGTCAATGTTCGTTCTTAATGCCGACTTTCTAGGAGTCTTCCCCTTCATGCTGCCCTTTGGCTCCTCCACCTCCCCCGCCGCCTTGCTCTTAGGTCTGACGACGTCCTCTACCGGGTCCTCCAGCTCCTCCGCCGGGGAGTCAAAGTTGGGACGCGTGTAAGCATGGCTCGGGCGACCTTCGGGCATCAGAGGTCTGCTGCTGCTACTTCCTGCGGCGGCCGGGGTCATACTGGCGCCGGTGAAGTCGCCATAGCTGTTCTTGTGCCTCATGCTACCAGCCTCCGCGGCCGTCACATCCGCCGCGGGCAGACCGGCTTCTCCACGCTCGGCGGCATGTTCTTTCATGACTTCCAGGACACCATCAATGTGCTCAATCTCCTTCATCAGGTCTTGATCGGTAGGCCATAAAGATCTGCGCACTGCGCTGATGGCTACCTCAAAGATAAGAAGGGCAGACAGCGCGATGATGCAGACGACCCACCAGGGCGCGTGCTGGCCGAAACCCCTGATGAAACCGTCTCTGACAAGGTACGGACTCATCTTGGCCGAGAAGATGCCGCTGAGGAGGAGATTCCAAAGGAACCAGCCAAAGACGGAGATGAAGAGACCGGCGAAACAGATAGCGATGCGGTTGTGGAGTTCGAGGACAAGCATTTTAATGTTGATGAAAATGACGCAAATGGTAAAGGCCAGGGTACCGACGGGATAGAGAGCGGCATTCTCGGACGGCAGGGTAATACCATAGACATACCAGACAATGCTGAAAATTAGCACTGACTCTGAGACGGCCATGAACATCCAACCAATGTACAGCTTGACGTTGAAGGCTTTCTCCTTCTGTCCGTATGTGTAGAGTTCGGGTATTGCCATCAGTGTGTCGGCTTCAAGATCCTTCTCGAAGATACCAAAGAGAATAACCGGGAGCGAGGTAAACAGGGTGTTGAAGACAGTCAAGCTGGTAGACTCGAACAGAGAAGTACCCGTATAACCGTTGTAACGTTGGAACTGCGCCTGTACTAGGTAGAAGACAATCTCCTTCCAGAAGGTACCAAGGATATACTTGCCAGTCCTGATATAATTCCAGCGACCGTGAACAAAGAGTAGGCGTTGCAAGAACCGGAACTGACTGATGGAAAAATCCGAAATTCGAGCAGCCTGGAGACCCTCTCTTCCGGAAATCCCGATGCCAACGTGCGAAGCTTGGATCATGGCAATATCATTGGCACCATCACCAATGGCAAGAGTGACAGCCTTGGGAACTTGCTGACGGATGCTCTGGACAAGCGTGGCCTTCTGCGATGGGGATGCGCGACAGCAGATGACCGAGTCGACTCTAACAACAAGGTCGAAGAACAAAACGCGGAGGGACTCGTCCTCCTCCACGACACTTAGAGTGTGACCATCAATAACAACAACCGAGTGAGGAACCATGCCACGACCCACATCTATCAGAGTTGAGGCAAGTCTCTCCTGAAGATCGTCTTGAGTCGCGTCCAGGATGTAGACCTCCGAGAAGGACTTGCAGATTCTAGCTGAGTGAGCGATGTTGATGGCAGTCTCACGCTTGTCACCCGTAAGCATCCAGATCTTGATGTTAGCACGGCGGAACTTGTCGATGGTCTCGGGTACACCGTGCTGCAGCTTGTCCTCAATGGCGGTAGCTCCAGCAAGGTCAAAGTTCTGTTCGATGATCTCAGCAGCCGCCTCGATGCGCTCTTGGCGGTTAACCAGGCTGGTAGTGGCTTCATGATAAATCGTCTTCCACTTCCTGTACTCCTCACCATCCAGATAGCGGTAGGCAAAAACGAGGGTTCGCAGACCTTCAGAGGCGAAGTCATCAATGTGCTTGAAGCAGCGTTCAAACACGGCGGCCTCGTTCAGAGCCAAATGTTCGTCAACCATTCCGTCGAGCGGATCATGGGGACGACCGACTTCAAACGACCGGCCACGCTGCATCGAGCGACGCGGGGGTGGGTTGGAATCATCAAACTCGTCAGTCTCACGACGTACTAGCCAAGAATCAACCTCATCCGTAAAGAACGTAGACCGGCGCTGACTGCCCTTAACCCTTCGGTGGTCCATCGAAGCACGGGAAGCCCGGACAAGGTTCATGCTGTCACGCTTGATACTGTGGAGACTAAGCCGACGCAGAGCCTTCTCCTGTTCCATACTCTTACGCATGCTGGCCATCTGCCCGATCTTTCCAGCAGTCTGGATAGCCAGATTGCTCTGCTTGAGGCGAGGCAGAATCATGCTATCAGCACCCTTGGTGAAGATACAGGTAGACCCGTCAGGCATGCGAATGACAATGGACATGCGCTTCCGCTTGCTACTGAACTCGATGACGTCTAGAACCTCATATGTCTCAGTAACAGGGTTGCCGTCCGCATCGCGAGTTTGAAGCCTGATGGCCTGTGAGGGACGGTCGATCACCAAGTAGCCCAAGTCCCTAGCTCCTTCCACCAGCGCCAACTCGTCAGGAGAGGCGGCCTGGAAAGTCATTTCGCCATCCTCCTTGGTCTCGGGGAGACAGGTGTGGCAAAGCGCAATGCAGAGTATGAAGTGCTTAGCGGTACGGGAGAAAGGCGTGTTAGGCCTCTGCTGAAGATAGCGAATCAACTCCTCGGTATTCGGTTCCCGCTGTCCATGTTTCACACCAGCGCTCGAGTGCCACGCAGATTGGTTGGCGACAATAGGCTCGTTGCTCGACTCTTCTGCAAGTGGTTCCAAGGAGGCCTCGACATTAGAGGGCCGCGGTTTCGCTGAGATCGAAAGGCTCCTTTTCGGCAGATCCTGGGCGAGTTGCTCTTGGTTTGCCTTCTCTGCATCTCTCCGTATATCCATATCATGAAGAAACGCCGCTCCTCCCACACTGATCTTCCGGAACCTCATGAGGTTCTCAGTCAGGGTACCTGTCTTGTCCGAAAACACATAGCTAACCTGACCGAGGTTTTCCAAAATCGTCGTGGTGTTGGCGCTCATTGCCGTGTCTGTTTTGGGATCATACATCTCGACATCCGTCAGTAGGTAAAGTTGCCCAAGCTTGATGATTTCAAGACTGACATAGAGTGACAGGGGAATCAGAGTGTTGAAAGCGATAATGAAGCCAATGACAATTTCCTTGATTGGGACCTTTTGCTGGATGAGATACCAAGCCTTCTTTTCATTGCTGCGATGCCACATGGTATAGCCACCAGTACATCCAACAGCAAGTGCAACGACGAAGACCACGAGAAGCATGACAATTCGGTTGACCATGAACTGCATCTCGGGTGCCTTGGTTCGAACATTCTTGTGCGCATTCATCCGAATCTTGCACTCCTCGCCAGTGTTGACAACGATTCCAATCGCTTGGGTCGTATTCCGGAGGGTTGATCCTCTGTACACGATCTGATTGGAGGTCAAGGGCATCGTCTCTCCGTTTACCGTCACTCGGCCTTCGTAGTTGTAGAGGTCGAGATTCGGGTCCTCAGAGACGACTGTAGCATCGCAGTGGGCCATGGCGTTGATAGAGGAGCAGTGGTTGAGCAACAAAGGACAGGCCTGTTTGCTCTTGAGATTTGTCTCGCCATCCAACGCCATAGTCTCGATATATGCGACTCCGTTCGGGCCAGTGGCATGGAGAAGCACCATGTCGGCGGGCACGTTTTCATCTCTCTGCAGCTGAACAATGTCGCCGACTCTGATGTCCTGCCATTCGATTCGTGCCCAAGGCTCACCTCCGCCCTCTCCCTCGCTCTGGTCGACTTCAGCTGTGGTCACCCTTTCCAAACCAGCTAGTTCCGTAGCAGCACCACCCTCAGCCGACTTTTTGCCCTTGACCATTTCCATGAGCATCCCCCGTTTCCTCCCTCGTACTCTGGTGCTGACGGTGCCATTGGGATCCAGCACAAACGTGGCACTCCTGTTCTCCAGTTTATCGAGTCTGTAACGGCGGTAGTCGTCATAACCTTCTTTTGCCATACTAATGCACACAAAAACTATAAGCGGGGCTATTGTCGTGTACGTTCCGGTTGTGCTCAATCCAGGAACCATCTGTAGGATACCGATGACAAGGAAATAGAAGTTGGCGAGCTTGCCGAACTGAAAAAGTAATTGCTTCGGCAAGAAGTCATAGAGGGTATATCTGCTGGAACGGATAAAGTTGGAGACGTAAGGCTGACCCGTCCGCTCGTCGTTCAACGGTATCTGTCGTACCAAACCAGGTTTCAGCGGTATGTGCCTTCCATCTTTACTTGGGGGTATTGGCCTTTGTCGCAGAAGGCCTTCAACAATGTATTTCTGGTAGGCATTCTCGGCACCAGCCTTTATCCTATTCAACGGATCGCTTGTCAACCTCTTTTGTCTCTCCTTCTGTCTTCCAATCCAGTCCTTGTAGGTGTCAAGAGTGATCTTGGTCTCCTCTTCCGTGGCCATAGCACTGCTTGCATCGCCGTACGCCTCATCGTAGCGTTGTCGTGGTAAAGTTAAAGATAAACGAGAGCGGGTGCTGTTCGCTGCGCTGTGTCGAGGTTCCAAGCTTGGCCGGCCCGGTTGTGATGGTTTTAAAGAAGAAGACGGGAGGTCGATATTAGAGTTGATTGTATATAGTTGGGACGGAAGTTGTAAGCTCGGGCGCGACAGACTGGGACGCCCAGACCTCGGGAGATCGTCGTCAGGAATATCGAGACTGAAACGCACACGCGTTGCCGATGGCGAGGCTGGTGATAAGGGGGATGTTGGTGTTTCGGGAGCAAGGTGGGATGAATGTCTAGGAAGTCCAAGGCTTGGTCTCCCATGCGCCGCAGAATGTCGGCCGTCGGTTGATCGCCGCTGCCCAAGCCTTAGCGAGGGCGTCGAGGCTGGCAAGCGGCGCAATGCTGGGCGAGGGATGTGGACTTCATTCTGCTGCAGTTCGATATTTTCAAGTCGATCTCTGAGGGCCTCGGCGGCATCTGGCTGGTCTGGTCCGGCCATGGTGGAGGAAGCAGTTTGTCGTAACCCGTAAGCAAGTCGGTGTAAACGTATGCGAAACGGCGTATAGTTCCTTTTCTAGCAGCGATTTCGACATGTCCCCTCCTTATATTGCACGATGACGATGGCGTATTTGATTAATTTTTCTGTCAGGAAAAACAAAGACGCTTCCTTCAGGATTGTGGCGGTCTGGTTAGTGATCTCTCTGGAGACGTTCAAAGCATTCTGACGATCCAGTCCAGGGTCGGACGGGGGCGGTTTGTCCGTTGACGGAGTCTCGATGATCACAGCCGTTTAGTAACTCAGGTCGTAAGCCACCTCCGCATTAGCTGCGTTTTAGTGGAGTTTAGTGACGGAATGCTGCTGCACTGGTGCTTCGGCGCCCAAGTACGCCAGGGAGCTTTGGAAGAATCGCGATCTTAAAGAGTCTCCAAGGCAAAGGGAAACGAGATGCACGTTTAGACCGGGCGGGGTATATTTATCGTATTAAGGTGTCGCGGAAAAAGTTAAACTAACCTCCCCTCAGTTTCGAAGGCTCGTGGGGTTGTTTCGATGCAAATTCGCTCGCCGTCACTTGGCTTTCTCTTTGTGTCAACCAGCAGGCGATATGCTAGGGTCGCTCCGCTTGTCTTGGGGCCAAGATGTCGCTGTCAGCCTGCACGAAAGACCAAGCATGTAAGACAAGTTGAGGCGATGGGTGGCTGTTTGTGATCGCGCGCTCACAAGTAAGTAGATGATGAAGAGACCAAGGGGGATATGCCAAAGGACAGTTGGCAATGATTCCCTTCCAAAATGCGATATCCAACACACGGGCAGAGCAAGAAGGGAACCAAGAAAAGCGAATGACAACTTCACCTGAAGAAGAGGTTGGGTGGTGACATGCATTCTGATGCTCCGATCCTGGAAACTTGCCGTGGGGAGGCCGAGGTGGAGACCTAGAAAAGTCCACTGTAAGCCACGCTTTCCCCTTCTAGGTTTGCTCTTGGCAGAGGAAGCGGGCCTCGACGTCGGCATCCCGCCCGTCCCCTCTGCTGTCCCGCCGAGCCCACCGCTGCAGCTCACCCATTAACCTTGGACTTCCGGGCCGCAACTGCAAGCCCTCAAGAGTCCAGCGCGGTCGGCATCCGGAACCCCGGCAGATGTTTCCTAGCCCCTATTCCTAATCTCAATCTTCTCCCAAAACCTTATCAATCACCTTCCCTTTCTTTCCTATGTACTGCAGAAAACAGTTGACGCGCGGTGGTGTCAGTGTGTGTACGTCACCGCCTAAAATTCAACCAAATGTGCTAGTGCATAGCCCCAATGCCAGGAACCTTGGCGGCCGGCCTTGGAACTGTTTTGCCGCTTTCCATGCTTGGTCAGATAAACTTCCCGTGCCTCTCACGTTCCGCTGCCTATCCCGACGGTCGAAACGTTGGTCACGCGGCGGCTTGTCACCCAGGAACGCCGCACTTTCGCATTTTATATCTCAGGTCTGAGAGACACACAGCACAGGATTCAAGACAGAGTTCCCGACCGTTGCGTGGCATGGCTGCAGAGCCGCATGGCCTTGAATGTCGTGTATCGGAGAACAGGACGATAGTGTGGTGTCATACGCTGTGGTAGGTATCGATTCAATGTTGTGGGGGCTGTTTGGGGCATATCATCCAGCTGGATAGTACTGCGGGCTTGGTTGGCAGTGCGTGCGTGGTACGACACAGATTTCACGAGGAGGTCTCCCGTAAAATCGAGCCACGGCGGGCCGAAGCTGTGCAAAGTTCCATCTGACACTTCGCGTTCAATGGAGAACCGACATAGCAAAGGTGGGCAGTAGTGACTAACCCAACGAACCGCATAAGTGCTAGAATATAAAGGATTAGAGTAAGAACAACGGGCATGAGACACAAGCATGTCAACGGTAAGAGCTTGACATGAGATGAATCCAGGACCATCCCGCATCCCGCTCGCGGGGTCAGGAGATCAAAAGCTAAAACTTAAATTCCACGACAATGTCCACTCCGGTTTCTGCAGATAACACTCCTCTTTTTATCAATTCAGAAATCTGCATGAAGGATATGGGTCATGGTACGTACCGACCCTCGGTACTAATTTGCAGTGTACACTACATACTTAGATAGGTATCACGCCGTTCCGTCCCGAGGGTTCCGGTGTTCCCGCTTCCCGCTCAGAAGGTCCCAGTTCCGACTGGCTTTTAACTATCGTCCAGAATACCGGGCTGTCCCGTCTCCGTGCAGCAGAAGATGAAGGGCTATGTGAGATGTGTCACCACGAGAAGAGGAACCCCCCAAGGAACTTATTGGTCGGACCTGAGAATCAAGTAATTCTTCAACTTATGTAACGTATTCACCGTACTGTATGTTCCGTTTCCAGTTACCTCTATTACCCCAGACTTTGGGAAATTTGAATCCGGGGCCCGGGATGCTACTCTGTAATTTCTCTTTATCAGACAATCAACAACGTGAGACTGCGGCAACTAAGAGGTTACCATTACGTATGCCCAGGCGTGGGCTTTTGCTCATAGGTTCATGGGTGTTTCTATCATCGTCCACGCTCATGTATTCTATCTTAAAATCAAGAACAAATCGACAATTAATGCCCCGGTGTCGACACTTGGCATCCTAAACGTTGCCTCTACCCGCGGTACCCTCTTTCGCACTTTCTCACTGACACAAAGTCAATATTTAATGATTTTACTCGGCATTGATTATTTCTGTTGTGCTCTCCATGCTAACTACCTCCATCACCATACCGTAAACTAAATCTCTGCGCAATAGAGCAAAGACTGATCCAATACTTCACTGCCCCCTGATTAAAACCAGAGTATCTGAGAAATAGTAGCCGCCTGGGCTTCTCCAGATCATCGCCTTTTGAACCTCCCCGCAGCCAGAACTTCATGGAGACACCTGATGCTTTTTATGGTCAACTCTTTCCCCCGCCGTCCCATCAAGAGAGAGGGAGAAACAGGATACCCATGACAAACCAGAGCTATTACAAAACCTGAGGCCCCGGGGGATTCGCCAACAAAAGAGGAATTATTACCCCGGGATATCGATAGACGAGAAACCGCCGAAAAGAGCAACGTAATCGAGAAAGGAGAAAACTTGTGCAATACTAAAAATGATCAAAGTAGGGATGACGAGGATCAATGTGCCAGACACGCATGAAAAGACAAGGTATCGTCTTGTAGATTTCGTGGCTGATGGATGAAATGGGACAAGAACAGAACATTTGTAAGAGGGGAATTCTTGGCAGTTTTTAAATCGGGAAAATGTGATGATATGTCGTCAAGCTTTTTTCTTTTTGAAGCGACACATGGAGGCAACAGAGCGTCCTGGTAAATACAACGAGATCCTCTAAACGCCAAAAGGAGTCGAACCGGGAGTGTACTCTCCGGAGGGGTATTATAAGGAATAAGAGTCATGAACCATCGGTGGCTTATAACCTATCGCAACACACAGCCGTGTTGCGAGGCAGACAAGGAAAAAAAAATATTTTGATTTACCCGCTCACTGTGTATGGTGAATGCTTTCAGGAGACAGAGAAGCGGGATCAACATCAAAGTGTTTGAGATCCATGTACTGGTTCAGCTCCATTTCTGCTTGGTTCGGTTCAGCGAATGGCGAGTGAGGATGCATCGGAAGTGTGTAACTGTGCTTGCCCGGCTGGTACATGTCGTGGTTGGAGCCATCGTCCGAAATCGCGGAGCCCTCGCAGATGGGAGGCATAGACATCGGCGGAGATTCGCTCATGATAGCAGGGTGGTCGAACGATAGCGGGGAAATCGACGGAGGCGGGACACCGAGGCTCGAGGGGTTGATCATGGGCGAGAAAGTAGCGCTATAGGGGGTGAAGCTACCTGCCATGTTGCCATTGTCAGGAGGGGCGAAGTAGTTGGGACTGTTAAAGCCAGCCGGTGAGTGCGGAGCAGTCGTCGCCGACATGGGATACTGTCGCATATCCACCGACCCAAAGCCAGCCTGGGTATCAATGCGCAAGTTGGGGTTGAGAGGACCCAGCATGTTGGGCTGCTGAGGGATAGGAGCGAAGATCTGGGGGTTGTGAACGGGAGCCTGATGATGCTCAGGTTGCGTGATGTGGAAGCTTGGGGGCTGCTGGAGCATTTGGAGTGTCTGGAAATCGATCGGTCCAGGGACACTGCGGCTACGCTGCCTCTTGTGGCCAGGTCCTCCCCGCATCATCATGTTGTTGTTCTGATGAACGTTGATCCCCCATTGGTTCTCCTGGAACATGCCCACGTGCGGCTGCGCAAAGTTTGGCTGAGAAGAGGGACGAGCTGGGGAAACAGGCGCAGACAGAGCCATGGGGTGGTGCATCTCCTGGAACATGTGGTTCGGGCTGTGACGATGCATGAAAGCCTCCAGGCTGACAAGCTTGGCAAGCTGGCCGCTCAAAATCTTGGGGTTGCCACCAAGGTGATGGGTGAGCACGCTTGAAGCTTGCTGGTCCTCCGTGAAATCACCAACCTGGAAGAAACCGCTAGCCTGGCCAGCGGCGTCCATGAAGAAGAGGGGCGGGTGGAGGAGCTCAATCGTAATTCCGCCCATATGATCGCCATCGCCATTGTTGAGGTAAATATTCTTAATGTAAGAAAAGGGATACTCGATCTTGTATCCTTCCTGCTCGTTGTTGATGTAGTAGGTCATCGTGCACTTGTCGGGGGAGTAAAAGATGATGAGATCCATAGAGTTTTGGGACACGCGCATCCACTTGCCAATAGTGAGCGACTTGCAGGTGAGATGGTGAATCACTGTCGCGAGTCAGCAAGCCACTCCAACTCCAACCTCCATGGGGTATTCGAGCCGCAACTTACAAACTTTGCCCTGTCCGCCTTGCTCACCACCGAGCATGCCCTGGTGTCCATAAGGCAGCAAACCAGTGCGACCAAAGTAACTAAGACCCTTGCCCGACTCCATCGCCTGTATCGCAAGATACTGTCTCATGGACTCGGGGATGGAATCCATATCCTCGCCGCTTTCCAAGCTCTTCTTGGCCAGAAGCTTGATCTTGGCGCGACTGCTCATGAAGTTAGTCGATAGTCACAACTGTGATCAGGGAAGAAGCGCACAGTAACAAATACATACCGATTCTGGAACCAAATCTGGACGGATCTTTCGGTCATGTTGATTTCCTCTGCTATCCTCTCGCGAACAGTGGCAGTCGGGGTAGGGTTCTTGTTGAACTCCATCTCGAGAGTTGTGAGCTGGTCCTGCGTCGCACGCTGCCTCTTCTGGTTCTTTTGCTGCTGAGTAAGGGTGCTCTTGCGGGGAGGACGCCTCGAGGCCGAAGACTGGTTGTGGTTCTTGTTGCCATTGGCGGGAGTAGAGGGAGAAGGCGAAACACTGTCCTTGGGGTAGCTGGTCGAGGTGGGAGTAGGAAGAGGAGTCATGCTGGAGGTTGGCGAAGGCGCTTCCTGCTTCATTGACGGCGGGGCCAAAGTCTCCTGGTTGATTATGTCGGTAGCCATTGCGAGCAGCGCTGGTGTCCTTTCCTTGTTTCCAAATGAAAGCCAAGAGCGCGTTGAACGATGTTTATCTCTCAATACACGGATCCAGATGTCCCTGGATTTGGCCTAGTGCTGGCCAACCCTGTTTGCCCGTTTCAGGTTGCGCGTCGAGCGGAAGGCTGAGGTGGTGGAGGTGTGATGTCGAAGGCGTATAGCAGTCGTGTGCGTGAGTATAAGCTATCGCGAGATTGCAAATTGGCAACAAATGGAGGAATGTCGCAAGACAATATGAAAGTCGTTTCTTTTCTGTGGTAATAATGAATGTGTCGTCCTAGGCCGCAGTAGGTGGGCACAGGAGGATTAGTAGTGATAGTAGTATAGTAGTAGTAAGTACTAAGTGTCTAGCAGTGTTTGGGTTGCCAGGGTGAGTGGCAGAGAGAGTGTGGTATGTGTGTGATAGCGGTGATGCTGATGATGGTGTTGTGGTGGTGGTGGTGGTGTTGATGATGATGATGCTGGATTCAGACCGTAAAGGAAGGTAAGTGACCCGGAAAGAGTGACGGGACCTAATGGAATGGACTGAATTGATTATTGATCCAAAGTGAACGACTGTGGTTAGGTAGAAAAGCAAAAGAATGAAGGCAGGGGGAGAGACAGGAAAGGAAGGGCTTGTCGGTGAGAGACGAGACTGACGATGGCGACCGAGGTGGGTTGAAAAAAGAGGGAGTGGGAAAAAAAGAGAGCGACGAGGGCCGGGGACGGGGTAGACATTCGAGGGAAAAAGCAGAAAGGGCAATGGTGGAACATGCGACCACCACCCGACTCCAGCGGGCTCCAGGGTTAGGTCCAGGACTCCAACAGGGCTCCAGCAGGAGCGAGCGAGCGATGGGGCGGCACCGAAAAAAAGCGGGTTCAGACTCTGGGCAACCTAACCACTGCACCTGGTGGTGGCACTGCGAGCGAGACTGCGAATCACTGCACTGCGAATCACCGGTGCGAATGGCTGCTGCGAATGGCACCGTCCAGCCAGTGCCTCTGCTCGCTCTGTGGTGCCCACCACCGACACTAGTGTACTATGCTACTTGCGAAGGTGGGTCGCTCGATGCGGGTCGAGTGGCATGGCGTTCAAGCGGGGGTTGCGGTTGGCCCATATCATCTCATGGTTTCCGTGCCTGGTCGTGCCTGGCGCCTTCCATCTCGACCCGACATGTCGTCCTCTCCCGGCGCAGCTGTTCGTCTGGTTCCAGCTTGGTGCGGTTTGGATGCAGTTCTGGTGCAGTCTGGCGCAGAGGCGCTGCAGCAGAGGTGTGAGGCAGACCGTTGGGATTGGACGCGGCCCATCGCTCGCAAGCACGGTGATGGCACAGCTCGACACAGCCAAGCAACAAGGAAGGGCAGCAGACTTCACACTACTAACAGTAGAGGTAGGAGGAGCACACTCGCACATTGGTGACCAACGCTTCCCTTCAGTGCGGGACACGGCATGATGGCGGCCCTCCTCCCAAGCCGTGAGCGACGACGGTACCTGCAGGAGGACTTGAACTCACCCACTCACTGTCCCCATCCACAGTCCGTCAGACGCCATTTTATACCGTGGTCCCGTCCCCTCTCCATGGCACGCAGTTCAGTCTTGTCTCTTTACGAGAAAGGTTCTGTCTGTCGTCTGTCCTATTTGCAAACCAAGAAAAAAAAGAAGAGAAAAAAGTCACAGCGAACAGCGATCATGATGGAGTGGATCTTACAAACCACGCACCTCTTCCTCGTGCTCCTATTCGGGCTTTCAACGGCCAAAGCTTTCCGGTCCACCCCGTCCTTTTTCCCGAGTTCCCTTCCATCGTCCCTCTCACAATTTCTCTCACACTGTCCAGCTCTTCTAGCCAGACACACTACCTACGATACAATAACCCCCCGTGACCCAGGGTTCGGTCGGATACCTGCCCGACTTGGCGACCCATCCAGGCCCCGTTTGCACCAGTTGACCCCTAATCCCAGGTCCCGGACGGACTCGACCATTCAGATCAGAGACACTGCTTTAGCTCCCCAGGGTTACCTTACCACTGGAAAGAACGGCACTGATCCGACTGCCGCCAGGCCTGTTGGTGAGATCCTCTCCTCTGTTCCTGAGCTAGACAGTACCGAAAGAAGCTCTAGAAGTTGAAGGGGTCTGAGGGGAAAGAAAGGGGAGGGGGTGCTGGAATCGGGAGGGCTCGGGCTTGGGCCCCGCGACCACTGGACTGTCCACAACGCCCATTTCGGTAATCAAGAGCTTGAGACAGACGACGGGGGAGGGTAACCAGGTCTTCAAACAGACGTAAGCATACACAGGACACAGTACCCCGATGGAGATGGGGAGCCTGACCTGACCTGACCTATGTAACCTGACCTGACTGATCACGACTTGGCCACTATGTATGTAACACACTGGGACCGGTGCAACGCCGATGCTGCCAGAAGATTCAGCGGTCCCGGTCGGCATGGGCAGCCGAGCTCGTTTTTTTTCTACATATGGATCTCATTCCCGTCGACAGCAGGTGGTTGTCTTCCTACCCGTTGGTAAACATGCCAAGTATTAGACGACGACGTTTTTATCTTATCGACGGAGGACTCGTCCGTTTGGTCATCAGCCGGGGAACAATCGACATCCACTCACGGTCGCCGAGGCCATGGTCCTGTTGTCCGTTGGGTCTTTGGGCCCATCATCCGTCAAGATGAATTGGAATAAATGAACACAAGCGGACCTTGCAAAACATAATCGGATGAGCTTGCTGCTCCCGGAGATCTTCTCCAAACCTCCAGGTACGTATACAATCGGTCCAATTCTCGTCGTCTGTTATACCATCTGCACTTTCTCTCCTGGCACCTGTCCACCTCATACAAAGAGGATGCGTAGCTACCCGGATAATCCTGCTGTGCAACGTGCGCTCGCGTTCATTATCGGGCCCGTTCGGGGTACAGTTTGGAAAGCAGATCGCCATTCAGTGATGCTCACGGTGACAGCATACTCACGGAAACAGCACCCCATGGCTTCTCAAAGCCTTCAATAAATTTGGACCCTTCTAAAGTCCCCTAGCTGATCGGCCCTGTTGTCGACGTCTGTCATTGCCGTTGCCGCGGGTTGGCGGGTCAGGAGGGACTGGGAGCCCCAGCAGTCATAGTATGGTATTCGAACAGCGCTACCAGCGAGACCATGCAGCAGCCTGACTCTCGCACAAACCGGATGCCTCCACCAGGTGTTTGAACTGAAGGTTAGCGCAATGGATCGGCACGATATGGTGCGAATTCGGATTGCATCAAGCTGCACTAGTAATCATCCACTTGACACTGGAGAGAGAGAGGTGTGTGTGGCACGATGGTCTTTCCACCATCGGCCGTTATATAGCCATGTCCTTGTTTCTTTTTCTTTTTTTGTGTTTTCTGTTTTTTAAAGTCTTTCCTTGTTGCTACCCAACGTTGCCGTTAATCACCAACATAGCCAAAGCTGGCTGTTTGACCCGTCGCTTCCCTTGGAAATCCGCGCCGTTAGCCTCTCCGAGGCGTCTTCAGTTTGTACAGGGACAGCGAAGCAACGGGGCAGCGATCCAAAAAAGAAGTTCGTTCCCGGGGGTGCAGCGACGTGAGGGCTTTTGGTGTGCACACCAGAAAAGCCAAGAAGTGCCTGATGCCAAATTCAGGAACACCAATCGGCGTTCATTTAAGGACTTCGGCTCCACAGTTTGGGGGCAGTCTTGGCCGGCCCTCCTGGGACTGAAAAGGGGGTAAACAGCGAGACCTCAAGCGACCACACAGTGCGCTAAACTGTCTCAAGGGTTCATGTCCAACGCCGTTACTAGTAGTACCTAGTACTTAGGTGTTGTTCGCTTCGCCCTCGTCGCTGTTGTTATTCCATTTCTCTTCTTCCACCACCATGTCTAGCCTCCATCTATTATGAGTCGCGATCCTAGGATGGGCGATTACGTGCGTACTCCAGCTCCTTGGTGTCGCTAAGGCTCATCGATCTCATGCGAACACTTGAGTCTGTGTCTCCTCATCCTTGTCCTCAGACCGCTGCGTGTTCTGTGAGACAGTTTCACAAGTTTAGTCCCAATGTATACAAGCCTCAACCCCCTCGAGTCCCGTACTAGTCGAATTCGTCGTGCATTGGCGGATTGGTCAGTCATCAGTGGGGGTCTGTCGGGTCAGCTGGCGGACCTAGAAGCCCGAAGCACAGCCCACGTTCTCGGCTTTCCTGTCTCATCGGGATGATATGGGGAAAAGGCAAGGGGTTGTTGATGTTGGTGTTCTTGGCTGACAATCCTTTAGGACATCGCCACAACAAGATGGAAGTTTGTTCAAGTGCATCTGCTATCACCGTTCTTGCTGCCCGCAGACAGAACAGGGCGCGGAGAAAGAGACTTTGACCTGACATGGAAGAAAGGAGTCAATTCAAGTGCGGGGGCAGAGATGTCAGATGCACGTCTGTGCACAGTGCTGCGACCTTGCATTGCTGCAGTGTGTTCCTGCGTTAGCGCCTTTTTTTTTTTTTTTTTTTTTTTTTTTTTTTTTTTTTTTACTCCGTGATGCTGATGCGGCGTCAATACACAAGCACGCCTCACTGCTCGTCTTGACGGTTGAGAAACTGAACCAGGCAGGTCAAGTTCCCTCCACGCGGCTCCCCACAAGCACTGCAACCAATATTGTGATGGGCTCTCTTCCGGTGTTTGGCATGACGCGGTCAGTTCGATAAGCTTGAGAAGAATGTTACACTAGAGGCAGGTAACGGTCGAGATGGGGGCGATAACACTGATCATCCATCGACAGCCTTCTTTGAGATACATACCAAGCACGAACACGATACAGCGCTGATAGAAAGGAACAAGTCGCTGATTGGTCTTATCACATGACAACAGCTGTGTACCGGGACGGCTATATGATCTTCTTGCAAGCCCACATCGTCCATGTTTTCCCACGTTCTTTTCGATCTCGCACTGGTCTAAGCAGCCTCATGCTCTCAACGGGGAAGGGCCGGGACCTCGCCAATGGAATGAATTCGGGCTTGGGCATGTGAACCACCAGGAGCGGGGCAATTTTTATATAACAGCCGCCAGGTCCCAAAGAATGCTTCCTAGCTCCTAAAACCTAATGGCAAACATGACTGAGGAAGCCGCAGACACTGGTTAGATCGTGATCGAAGACGGCAAAGACCGCAGACCAACTACTATCATATGTATAGTCTTGGAAACCGGCGTGGAGACTCCAACAGCATTAGCATCAGATGACAACGGACAACGTTCCGACAGCCCGGTGCTGCGAAACCGCGCCAAGCGGGCGTTTTTCCGTGTTTGGATTCCAGATCAAACCAGACCAGAGGTATGTATGTATGTAATGCCTGCCTTTTCTTGGGCGTGGCTATCTCCGAAAAGGATGTTTATTCCGGCACGGCAGATTCTCCATTTCAAAGATTGATTGAGGTTTGTTACCCTTGAGAAGACAGGCTCTCTAGATTCTCAACACCTCAAAACACGGCATCTCCTCGTTATGGTCTGAGATTCAATGCGACTACAATGCCATAACCGGTATCCCTGCGAGAGAGACATCCATCAGAACGAACTTAAAGGAGCTTAGACAGTGCGACAGCGACAGCAACAGCGACGAACAAGGACAGGGTCGAGAACCCACCTTACCCCTGGATTTGTGGAGCAGACAAGGATCACTAGCGGGACACAAGTCAGTAAGCGGTGCGATTCCATTGGTTTTCAGATTTCGAGCTTCCAAGCAGTACAAGTCCGTTGCCATGGTCTGTGCCCTCTGTTTCCCTTTTCCTCTTCCTCTCAGACAGAGTCTTTGACCCCGAGTTGATCTCTCCTCCTGAGAAGCCCGACCATCCATCCAATCCCTCACCTCAAAACAACCCTCAATTCCGTCCATCCATCTCACCCCGAATGATGTGCGCCGTCTCAATGCACACATTCATCGACATGTCAAAAGAGGGGCATGCCAATGCAAATCCTACATTTCTGTTTTGTTTCTTTCTTTGGCGGGGGTTACAACGTCACATTCGTTGTCCTGAGTCGTGACATACCTACAGCACACACAACACGTCAAACAACTGCCCTGCCCGGACAGGAAACATGGGAAGAACGGCAGGATAATTCGATCCAAAAAAAAAAAAAAAAAAAAAGAGGACATTGAAGAGCTCTCAACTCGCCCCGCACACCACTTGTCACCACAAGGTGCACCGTGCGGTTACATATTCTGATGACGACCTTCACTGCTAACAAGCGATATGATCTTTGGCGGAGCTTTCGTCCCCCTTTCCCCATCCGGCTGGAGGGGGCACTCGGACATCGTCCGTCTACTAGAGCTGTGAATGGGCCTTGAGGACGAACTTAGAATAGGACAGAACGCGCTCGCGGCCTGCTTTCTCTTGTTTTTTTTTTCTTCCCGACGCGAAACGACGGCGGCGATCGTTCATGCGGCTACCCGCCTGGTTTGCTGATTGGTCTCTCGTCTGAATGTCTCTTTAAAAGTGTTCATAGCATTATGCACGTCTGACTGGCCGTAAGCATTGTGCGCCGGCGAAACAAGGCAAAAGCACTGTGGATAGAAAGCTGACAGAGTACAATTATGCGAAACACGCGATGTCGTAAAAGCACCACTGACTCTTGGGAATAGGAAAGTCGGAAACATGTCCTACAGCAATCGGCGCGCGCGAGCTGGAGATGCAAAAGCCAAAATAGCCACAGAGCCGTCCATCGTCAACACAGATCTGAAGATTCTCGAAACACACCTGGCCACGGGAAGCCATGTGTCATGACGATAAGCTCAAGGCCAATCCCTGGTAAGATATTGATGACGGCTATGGAAAGTCACCGGCCTGAACTGGGATTATACACTACAAGCACGCCGCAGTCATTCACCGTCTCCTGATGTTTCCGCCCATCCATTGGTCACGGAGCTCTCGGCAGTTATTAGGCGACGGTGATGCTCTCTTTCTCTCCTTTTCTTCAGCCCTGAAAGTGGACGCCCGTTCCTCAACATCATGGACCATATACATCAGCTCCCCTTGTCCGATAAAAGCCGTTGTGCTCGCTGTCAGCCTCGGGTTTATCTAGTGTACCTGGCATGAGCCGCATGACGGACGAGCCCGGCCAGGGTTGCCAAAACGGGCATGTGCACATCGTGTTCGGGGCTTCCATCGATGTTGAAGCATGACGGTCCGGTCTCCTAACATGGTATACTTGACTGGATTTAGGCACCTGCTCCGAACGCACGCCAGCGATGCGACCGAGGTCCACTCAGCATCGTCCAGCTAGTGCGATATGTGTTTAGAGGTAGAAAATATGAACCAAGTGGTTACTCATCAGTTCATCCTCTAAAGGTACACCGACTCGCTCTTTGTGCAATGTTTCCTTTTCGATGAGTGTTGAGGGAAGAAAGACCCCACTCTCATTGGCTACGCTCCATTGAAAAGATGGATGATACCCAGAAGCAAAACGATGGCCATCAGAATTCAATACGAAGGTCACACATACATATTAAGTGATGTTGGGTGACAAGCACATTTCCCGGCCTTATACCCGGCAGAGTCTGGTGCTGCGAACATTTGGTTCTATCAAGCCGGACTTTCGTGTTGCACGAGCGGTCCGCCCCCGGCTCCGAGGTAGTCACCGAGCGCCCCGGGGTACAGGCCCATCAGAGAACCTATCAACCTCGGATGATCGGCTCCTGTCCAAAGCTGCGGGCAGGAAGAATTAAGAACGACGACTTCGCATGGTCGTCAAATCTACCCTATCCGCCTAAACTCGCCGGGGTGTCCTCTTCCGTCACAAGAGTGCCTTCTCCGTGCCGGGTTTTGACGCATGATCATGCACGGTCATTAAGGTTGCATCCCATTCCTCTTCAAAAAAACCACCAATCCCAAGACGGAGTCCGAAACTTCTGAAACTCGCGCTTTGTCAAGCGTCAGCCAAACATTGACGAAAAAAAAAAAAAAAACTAAAAGACCGGGTTTACCCTGATGTGCACTGTCAAAAAAGGAAGACATCTTGCCCATTGAGGAAGTTAGGTTGTTGACGACAACCCGTTCTCGACTCGTTTGATAACCCCAGATTTGACGATACGATGACTCGCGTCACCGCCGTCGACATTTACACATCTCGTAACGCTGGGCGATTCATCAATCTCAAAACCGACAGGATCAAACAAACACGTATGCATAAGGTCTTCATCCTGCATAGCTCAGACAGCATGAACGATAAGACTGCATTCACCTTCACCACGATACTTCAACCAGGTGGTGGCGAACAATTACTGATTACATCGAACGTTTACCTTTATGCTTGCTATATCCTGATTATCTTCTATCACTGGTATTTCCGTTCTTCTCATTCGCTGCTCTTCTGTCTTTTTCTTCTTGCCAACCTCAGACGTATATGATCAATCTACAGGAACGCTTCGTCATCAGTGATTGTCCACCAGGGACGGATGCCATGATGACACATGCTACCATTGCCGGAAGATCCTCTTCTCCTTGTTCATCCGTAGTGTATACTACTTGTCATTGTGTCCTGGGTCAGGATATGGCTAACGGCAAGTTGAAGATCATTGTTGGGGTCATTGAGCGACAGGACCTCCAGGGATAATTGGTCTTCTCGTCTGCTCACAATCTGCCAGAAGATCTGTTCCATGGGAGAATCTACTGTACTAGGACGGAGTTTCAACTCGTGGGGATGTGATGCAACAGAGCTATGATCAGATGCTTATAGCAAAACTGAACGTGACCTTGGAGATCATACAATATACAGCTATACTATACTATACTATACCCCCCAACTCCTTACCCGTCGATACTTTGACACTTCCTGTTCTCTTCTGTTGTATTTTTTCGACGCTGAAGCAGCATAACCCCAGTCCTTATTGACCCCGAGCAGAGTCATGTTTACCCCCTTGTCCTGCTACATACATACGCTTCAGAACGGATTACATATACCCTCAATAGTCAGTTGACGCATATGCGACTTTGGAAGTAATTGAACTCTCACAGAAAAACATTCACCATGCCACGCCAAACAACGTCCGTTCAGCCTGCATCCAGCTGCATATAGCACCCTCGCCACATCTGATCCTAACCAGGATCTCCCGTCCAGCTACATACAAGCTACGCAATCAATTTACCAGGAAACCCCAGGAACATCTCAACAACCGTCTTCCTTGCCCACCCGTTCCGTTCCGCTCCGTTCCGTCCCTCCCAGACCAAACGCACGCCCGAACGAGTGCTTGAGCAACCGGGCCGGTTTATTAGTATAGTCCAGCTGTGTAAGGTGTAGGTGTGTTGGGGAACTTGGCTAGTAGTCGGCGTCGGCGTGGTTCTTCTTACTCGCTGTTATTACCTACTAGATAGCTTGATTTGAATCATCATATGCACTCACCATCTGATGACACGCTCCCGAGAAGGGCTTCATCTCATGTGTTTTAACTATACTCTATGAGTGAAATGACGAATAATGTTGTTTCGCTCCTGAGTAGAAGAAGACTAGTGTGAGCAATAAAAAAAGCAGGTTGGATACTTACAAACTTGGGAGCGACAGGCAAGGTATACGAAGAAAAAACAAAATAAAAAAAAACCAAAAAAAAATAAATAAAAAAAATACAAAAAACCCTGTTCGTGAGGTGAAAATGCATGAAAACCACAATAGCAATCGTGCCAAGAAGGAGGAGGAGGAGGAAGAAGAAGTGGAGAAATAAATATGTGGGCGTGTCGGTAGATAAGCTCGTGCTGTCGAATCTCGTCTTGGTGACGAGAGTAGGTAGACAACCTACCTACCTACCTAGGTAAGCCTTCATTCAACTGCGAGATTGAACTCGGTACTCTGGCATTATATGAAAAATGGTTCTGTCGTAGGTAGTGCCCAGGCCGTTTTCCACTGATGCGTGGCTAGGTAGTACTGGGATATAGTGTATAGATCAACCCTTAAAACTGTTTGTTAGCGCAAGAGGTCCCACTGGGTGTCTCACACATGCACCAAAACTTGACTCCATTCACAGCGGCCAAAACAAACCTGCGTTCAGACAATAGCCATACAGTCATGAGATTGTAGAGCATGAGGTTATATGGCGAAGCAGCGACTCGTTTCATGTTCCACTGGGGTTTATTAGTGTTTGAAGAGTGTTAACCAAACTTTGGCGTGGTTGTAACAACTACGTTAGGTACCCCTATTCAAGCAGTGAGACCGAGTGTTGTTTGATGTAGGGTAGGGACCTCTTAAAACAGTGCCAACCCTTTGTCCAAACTGGACTGATATTATGCTTCGCCTTCTATGATGTCTAACTGACCAGAAACACCCTAATGGCGCCTAGCTTTCTATAATTGGTATCAAATACGCGACAAAGGCTCCATTCTACTCTTTACCTAAACCCATTGCGACTAACCCCAACACCGTCTATTATACAGCTGAGCGCACCTTTTACGCAGTGGTCTCTCCGACCTCAGTTGCCGCGACAACCTTTGGCTTTTCCTCTTCCTTCTTCTCCTCCACAGGCGCCGCCGCCGGTGTGGGCTCTGGAATAGCAGCAGCCTCGGGGGCCGGGGCTGGCGCCTCGTTGTGAGCCTCCGTTGCCACTGGTACGGAAGCAGTAACAGGGGGAGGAGCAAGAGCAGTCTCGGAAGCAAGAACAGTCTCGGGAGCAAAAACAGTCTCGGGCTCAGCAGCCGGCGCAGGCGCAGATGCGGCAGGAGTGGGCTCAGGAGCAGAGGTGGCAGCGGCAATAGGACCAGCAACGCCAACCTGAGCATGCCCAGTGATGAAATCCTCCAGCTCGCCAATCTGCTGGCCACCGGCAACCCAGCGCTGGTACTT